TCCACTCACAGTACACATGTTCACCTCACTCTGGAAGGATCTCTGTTGTGTTGTCTTTTTTGCCATTATTTTGCAAAATTCCTTTAGTGACACCATGGCGCCGAAGAAACTGAGTGTAAAGAGCAGTGATGAAAAGCCAAAATGCATGATTTTGTTTGAGGTAAATTGGGAAATTATAAAAAACTTGAGGCAGTTGTACAAGTAATGAATTTGGTGGGACAGTATGAATGTTCTACATTGATGATAAATAAAAAAAAATTATAAGATTATAACAATTTTAAAAAAGTAATGGATAAAATGTAAACATTTTTAAAATTTAAAAATTAAGTGATAAAGTTAATCTTCGGTATTGTAGACCACGCTAGTAGTTACTAGGTTAGGTTAGCGGTTGCTCACTCTCTCTGTCTCCTTCACCAGTTATCTGAACTTCATGGTTTAGTACAGTTTATTTCTTTATATTTGTTTTTTCTCTTTTATTGTCTGTAAACTAGATTTCTTGTTTATTCACATGGTTTTGCTTGTAAGAAACGCACAAATACAAAAAAATTGGATGAGTTTTCAGTTATGGTTATTTTTAGGGGCCTGGAATGGATCAGAAATATTCCCATTAATTTCAATGGGGAAAATGGGTTTGAGATATGAGTGTTTTGAATTACATTCTCTGTCTTGGAATGAATTAAACACATACCTCAAGGCATTACTGTATATAGTTTAATGTAGATGCCTCCCAATACCATCCTACAAGCTTGGATATTGACAGAGAATATCTCTGTTGGGGTGGCTTGATCATGCAATCAAGTTGTATTTCCAGTTGTGTGATGACCTAGTTGTGAAGGAACTGTGTGCTTGATAACTAGTCAGAAAATATTGCTTTCATTCTTCCTTCTTCTTTTATGTGCCTTATCCCTTCAGGATGTATGTGATCATGGCTCTCCACTTTTCTCTATCTTTTGTAGCTCTCAATATGTTTTGTCATTTTGCTACTTCTCTCAAACCCTATTCCATTGTCCACTTGCTTAAGCTCACTAGGTATGTCCCACGTTGCTTTCGCTTGTTTCTCTTTCCCTCTATCCACCCTGTGAGTATTAGATTCTCCAAGCCCTTCTTTCTTATGATGTGTCCCAGAAATTTCAGCCGCCTCTTCCTGATGTTAAGTATAAGCTTCCTCCTTGTTTGCATCCTCTCCACGACCTCATCGTTGCTCACATGTTTGGTCCATGTTATCCTTAGCATCCTTCTGTAGAAGCATACCTCCATTGCCTCGAGTATCTTCATCTTTGAGATCATCCAACATCTGCTGCCATAAAGGAGGACAGATATCACATCGCAGTTCAATACTCTTTTCTTTATTACCAATGAAATCCTCCTGTCTCGTAATACTCTACCTAGCTTTTGGAATGCATCTTTGGCATTCAGGCTACTTATTTTAAACTATAGAGGAGCTTGTATGGATGTTTTTATAAGTTTTTAATTTGAGTCCTCATTTACAGAGTCAGCAGGCAGTTTCAAGAATTTGTTATTAGAAGATAATCCCAAAACAATAATCATGGTTACAGGCTTTTCTTGTAAGTCTTTTTTTTCTTTTTTTTTATGCCATATCTCTTCAGGATGTAGAAGACCATGGCTCACCATATTTTCTTTATTATTTAGGAATTTCCATGGCTTCTTGGAAAAGATATGAGTATAGTTAATGTTCCTTTGCCACAGTTTTTGAATTTAGTGTTGTTTTTTTCCTAGATTGGCTGTTTTTTTCCTAGATTGGCTAGAGAGCTCAGTTAATTTTGCTATTTAGGAGGAAGAGGAGGAGAAATGGAGTCATAAGCATTAGTGTGAAAATGAATGCAACAGACTAGGCTGGAATTTGCTCTGCTCCCCAATTTCTCTTACTACATCAACAACATTTGTTTTTTTTAATACATTTTTTTTTTCATTTTTAGTATTTTATATATATATATATATATATATATATATATATATATATATATATATATATATATATATATATATAATAGTACTTTTAATTCATTTGGTGGAAAAATAGAAAATATTAATTCCTTATTCATTTCCATATTTAGTTGCTGGATTAAACATAAGTAATCTATTTTTTTGAGTTCTCATGTCTTCTCACCTTGATCCTCCTATATGGTAGTGAATGCTGGACAATTTCTTGCCAGATGAAGAAGTGACAGATATAATTTTGCAGAAACATGCTGAGGATGCCATGGATGGAGCATGTAAGCAATAAGGAAGCTTTAAGAACTCTTTGATGCCTGAAACATTTGATAATACATTGGCACCTACATCCTTAAAGATAATTTATACTACCTTTTTGACAGTACTAATATCAGTTGATAAAATAAATGAGATATTGTTCTACAGAAACCTGCTGAGGATATCATGGATGGAACATGTAAGCAATGAGGAATTTTAAGGAAAATGGAAACAAAAAGGACAGTTATACTTAAAATCAGAAAGAAGTTGAAATTTATGGGACACATAATGAGGAAAGAAGGTTTGGAAAATTTGACACTCACAGGACATGCTGAAGACGAGGGACAGAGGAAAGCAATGAGTAACTTACATAATGGGCTTGTGCAGTGGGAAGGATAGTTAAAAGACAAACATTGCTAAGTGCTACAAAGGATAGGACGTTGTGGAGAGCTATGATTACCCATGTCTTCAATGGACATGGCACATAGGAGGGAATTATTTTGTATACTCCTTTTTACTCTGTCCATATGTATCTCCTGCATTTGTTCTATGGACACTTTTTTTAGTTGTATCTGTTTCTAGATGTTTATTCAATGTGCTAGTAATTATATTCATGGTCGTGATGAATTGCACCTGTCAAAAATTTGACCCATTATTGTCATCCTTTTCATTAACAAAATCATAATCTTTAGCAAGTTGGTTCAAACTGATCAACAAATTTGTCAACCAGTTTGAGCCAATTCACCAGCATTGTTTCTTGTTGTTTGGCTTGTTGGAAAATGTGTCATAGAAGTTTTTTCACTGGTTTCAGGTAGGATGTTAACAAAATAAGTGCGGCTTGGTTGTCAGAAGGTTGTGAAAAAATATATCCTGTGCTTCATAACTGGCACAGTGTAGAAGTAATTGATGCCTCTGGTGGTTGTTACTCCACCACTGTAGTAGATGCACTGTCTAAAAATATTGGTTGCCAGGAGACAGAGGGCCCACCCACAACTACAATGCTATCATTTAATTTTCATAATTAATAAATAAAATTTAAAAAGAAAAAATATATGGAAAAAAAAATGGTACAATTAAAATTTTTGTAGAAAAAAATGTATATTTCTTATTAATTACAGTGTAAATTTAAAATTATCCTCACTCTTGTTTTTTCAAATTATTTACACAAAAGCAGGGGTTAAACAATTATGTCATTTTTCTACATAGTCTCCTTTCTTTTTGATGTGCTTCATCTTGTGGTTCCTAAGCTTTTGTACTCCCTCCAAGAAGAAGGTTTTCAGTTGGTCATACACTTCTTGCACTATAGAAAATTGACAACTTCATAAAGCATCTTTAAGAGATGACAGCCAGAAGATCTGGTCTATAGGTAAGGTGTCCCAGCACCTCAAAACCCAGTTGATTAATGGTTTCAATGCTTTGGCTGACTGTATATAGGTATGCATTGTCATGCAACAACAAAACTTTCTTCAACAATAAACTTTGGCATTTGGTGTGAATTACTAGCTTCAGATTGTTGGCCAGCAAAGCACTGTGTCTTTCACTGTTGATTGTACACTCCTTTTCCAGTTAGTCTTCCAGTATATAGGCCCTTTTGAGTCTTAAAAATGATTAGTATCACCTTTCTTGCCGAATATTGAGTCTTGAATCTCATCGTCACTGGCAAGCCAGGATGTTTCCATTCCATATACTGTCTTTTGGATTCTGGCTCATAGTGATGAACCCACGTTTCATCTTCTGTGTTGATTCTGCTCAAAATTTCTTTGCCATCATTGTTGTAACAGTCAAGTAAATGTTGGCAGACCTCAACTCATTTGCACTTGTGCTCTGTGGTAAGCTCTCTTGGCACCCATCTTGCACAGACTTTATGAAAGTCAAGCTCATCATGGATAATTTAATAGGCAGAACCATGACTAATCTGCAGAGAACATGCTGCCTCATCAATGATAACTTGCCAGTTTGCTATTACCATCCCTCAAGTGATGGAGGCTTATGGGTGTCCTGCTCCTTTGTGCATTATGTTTGTCCAGCCACTTTTAAGTTTTTCTCAGTCCACTCATACACACTTTTGTGTGGTAGTGCATTGTTGTCATATTGTGTTAAAAGCCCCCAGTGAATTTCAACCCCTGACACACCTTCTGGTCAAAGAAATTGGATCACTGCTCTTTGTTTTTCATTGGTGCACACTGCTAGCAGAGCAGCCATGTTTACACTGTATCAGTAGCAATAAAACTGGCATGATCAAGCTCAAACTGTGATTATGTGACCACAATAGTATGAAATATAAACATACATGAGCAGAAGGCAGTGTGATAAACCAAAAGATATGTTATGGTAAAAATGCAAATAATTTTTGTTGTGTCGGAAACCTACCACCCCTCTTGAAGATGAACTTGTCTGCATCTGTGAACAAAGACTTTAAATAGTGGCATGTCAGTTGACATGAGGAAGATAGATAGACAGAGAAGTTATTAGCTGAGCTAGTTATTGACTACTCAGGCGATTTCTGTACCTTTTTACCAACCTATTAAAACCCTTTTTATTGTTACGTGTTATTTGGCGTTTGTCTCTACTAACCCCAAATCAACATCATAATAATTTTTGACTTACCCTTGTACTTTGACAAATTGTCAATGACTAGAAATTACATAAGTGTCACTTGTGTATCAAGAGGTTTTGTTAATGTATCAGTAAAATATTGTTAACAACACCAGACTCTGTGTTAAACTGAATTGTCAGGAATAATGATTGTAAACCTTTCAAAAGCAACTGATTTTAATCTTGATTTTCAGGTAAATTGGATTTCATTTCGGAAGGATTTGAAGATACAGCCCAGGACCCTTCAGCTATTGCTTTGGGATTTTATAATGGTCTTTGGGCTTATGATGGTTGGTAAGTGGATTTCTTTATTCTTTAAAAGTTCATCATCTGGTCGAGTTAGCATGCACACCACCCATCTTGGTCCTGCCTCAAATTCAAATGCTCATCTAATTGGTACCCTGAATCCATCTGAGCATAGTTGGTCAACATATGTTGTTGCTGGTCAATCAACCTAGCTGGGACTATATCCAGGTGTCCAGAGGAGTAAGTCTTTAGATACCTTGTGTTGGCATGCTTGCAGTGTCCAGCAAATTATTTCTGATGTGGCTGTAGTTCACTGTAGAATTAGTTCAGCAGAGCTCTAAGCATGTGCAATATGTCTAATGGATTCTAACGTCTTGGTCAGTCCATGTTGTTTCTCCATACAAAATTACTGATTCAGCAGTAGCATAAAAGCTGCATTTAAGATCGTCTAGTAGGTTTGATTTCCAGACGTTCATTTTATTTCAGACAGTCCATGTCTTGACTATGCAGATTTATAAACCTTTTTCTGTGGAGAAAATTTTACTAGTGAAGTATGTGAAATACCAATTGTCTTAAGAGGATTTCCATTTATGTTGTTTATAGAATTGCATTGTTTAAAGTTGATACATTTAGTTATTCCTTACATAATGACTGACATGCTGTGCTGCATTCACAAGTCTGTAGTGATTTTGTTGCATTGGCTATGGTGTTAGTAACCTGCCTTGTCCGTGTTGGCAATCTTTTTAGTTTGGCATCTACAAGATGGCTGTTGTGATAGAGTAAATCCTAACTGGACTCACACTGTCTCTTGACAAAGTGACTGAATTAGGATATGAAAAAATCACTGCATTCAAAATTTAGATACTTCAGGGTATGACTATAAACTAGATCTGGCTGCAAGGCCTCTGATCAGGAGATTGGAAGTTTTGAGGAGTGTGGAATCCCCTCTCAATTGCTGTTATTCCCAGTTTCACTCTGACCTGGGGTGGTAGCACCTGTTAGGGGTCCTAGCTATGGGCAAATAGTGAATCCTCCAAATAAAAACAAAACACTATGAAAGTATAAAAATACCAGCAATACATTTTTATATAAACAAATTATCAGCAAAACATATTTATAGTAAAATTACCAGCAATACATTTTATAGTAAAATGACCAACAATACACTTTGTTTGCAGTTCAAAATTGTGTTCAAAATATATTCAGTTGAAGCCATAACATTTTGTTCAAAATATTTAGATTTTGGCATTAAATAACCCATAGAGGTTGATATGCCACTAAACAAAATTAACCAATCAACTCAAAAGTTAGACTGCTATTTGAATTGTCAATATAATATCACAGTTTATATGAGATATATTGTGTTAATGAACTCTTAAATTGCTGTAAAAAAAAAAAAACTTTTAAAGTAAAATTTGTTTAAATAGATCTTCAAGGTGCACCAAGTATTTGAGAACACACTTTTATGGGTCATGAATGGAAGATGACCTCATGTAATGTGTCAAATTTTGATATTCTCATTCATCTTTCAGATGTATCAAAAGCATTGATACAACAGCCACCCAATCTGATACAGGAAGAAAAGTAAAGGCATATAGAACTCAAAGCATTAGCTCAGTATCTCATTGATAGCCAGCCTTTTTTAAAGTAGCCAGATGAACAGGAAGAATGTCAGGTAGTGTTGACCCCCATACAGGTACTCACAGTGATGGTCCTGCTAGTTATGAGCAACAAGGTGTGATATCATGTAGCTCTACTACTTTCCATAATGTCTCCGTTTCAATACCTACATGAAAAATATAGTGGTCAAGTCCTGGATCAAACAGGGTGGTTCAATCCCATATGACCCAGGAGTAGTTGGTTAAGTGTACCAGGTGCAAATCCGTGATGACTGACAAACTTCCTGAACAAAGACACTATTCACTTGGTGCACCTGGTGTAAAACCGCAGCGACTGATAAACTCCCTCAATTTACTCGGTAATCTCTTCCTGTGCCTCTGCTTTCTCCTTTACATGATTCTTCTTCAACGTTGCAGAAGGTTCTTTTCGAGTGATGAGTGTTCTACGTTTTTATGTCCTTTTCTGCCCTCCTTCATTTGCATGCATGAATTCACTTTCCGTGGTTTTATGAGACCGCTCGCGTGAGGATATGTGACCATTCGCAATATAAGCTTGCCGGGGGCAGCCATGTTTTTTCCAGTCAAAAAAAAAATAAACCTTGCATGTAGAACATATATGCTGCCATTTTCGATCAGGTGGGTGATTATTTTCATTCCAATTTTCACTACATTAAGAATTTTCATCCAATATATTGCCTTCTGACTGGACCACAATATCTGGGGCTTCATTGAGGATTCCAACCAGCAGACATAAAATACCAAAGAATCACTGAAGAAGTTTGCCATTGTGAACATCATAACCACTCTACTGAGAACCGCTGGATATTGAGGCTGTCTCAAGGCTGAGAACAGTTTTATTAAATAAAACTTTTCTGTTTTTGAAAGTTGAACATTTGCAAAAATATGAGGTTTTTGGTTTTTAGAAAAATATTCTGAATATACTTGAATATTTTCTTTTTGTCTTTTGTTTTCAATTAGATGGTGCCGTGTGTGTGTGTGTATATATATATATATATATATATATATATGATGTGTGTGCTTCTAGGGTCTATAATAGTATCTAAATAAAAGTGGGAGGATTAAGCACAGTGGAAAAGCTATAAACGATGTATTTCACTGAATATCTGAGTTTGGCTTCTTCAGGTTAGAATGTGACAAAAGTGTTGGGATCTCTGAGGATAAGAGACACCATAAGCAACCTTATCAGATCTGATGACCAGTAATAATTATTTTTCTAATTTTATATATTTTGCTTTTCTTCTTAATTTATGTAAATTATAAATTGGAGATACCAAAATCAAACAGGTACAACAATATCTGGGAAGTGTTTTAACAGAGGATGGAAATGCAATATTGAAATCCAAGAGCATATTGGGATAGTGAAAGATGCCTTCCAAAAGCTAAGCAAAGTATTAAGAAATGGAAAAACAAAGAAAACAGTACTAAAAAGTTATGTAATATCAGTTCTCCTATATGGTAGTGAATGCTGGAAAATTTCCTCACAGATGAAGAGACTTGAAGCAACAGAAATGTAGTTCTATGGAAGGATGCTAAGAATACCATGGCCTGAACATGTGAACATTGACAAGGTTTTATAGAAAATGGAAACAAAAAGGACACTATACTTTGAATCAGTAAGAGAGTTGAAATTTCTAGGGCACATAATGAGGAAAGAGAGCTTGAAAAACTTGATACTCACAGGATAGATTAAAGTCAAGAGGGACAGAGGAAAACAGCAGATAACCTACCTAGTGAGTTTCAGTAAATGGATCACAGAACAAGGTTTAGGAGACATGACAAAAAGACAAAAATTGTTAAGAGCTACAAAGAACAGGAGATTGTGGAGAGCCATGATTGCCGATGTCCTGAAGAGACACAGCAAACAGAAGAAGAATTCTTTCACAAAAGCTTCAGCTGTGTTCAGATTAGTAGTTGTATATATGATATATATATAGATCACTTAATGAGGAAAGAAGGTTTACAGGGCAAATTGAAAGGAAGAGGGATGGGTAAACAACAAATGATCTACCTACCTCGTGAGCTTGAGTAAGTGGATGGCAGAATAAGATTTAGGAGAGATAACAAAAGGACAAAATTGACACTAAAGGGACTGCACATAGAAGATATCCATTCTCAGATTGTTAGGGAGACAACTGTTGCATCATTGAGCTTAACAGCTGAATTTTGGCCAATTTTTCCCTTGATAAGATTCAATTCACATGATTAATACTCACTATTGAATGAAGAGCATTGACAAGGAAAGAGATGGTTGAAAAATATTTGTTGTGTAAAATAAATCGATGATATATTGTTTAATGTTTTAGTGTTGTGCAATCTTTGTAGTTATTTTACATATGGTTGTTGAATTATAATTTTTCACATATTAAATAAAAACAATTTTTGGGTGAAATTTAATAGTTGTTATCATTTTCTTTCAGGAATAACTTAAATTTTGTGACTGAAGAGTTAAAAAATCCACACAAGTAAGTTTTGATTGAAGGCATTTTTTTAATTGTTTGCTAATTATGATTTGGTGCTTAAAATGCCAGATTCTTGGAACAAAATGAAGCCCAAGTACAAGAAAAACTGCTTACAACAAATTATATGTATAAACCTGAATGCATATCTACATTAGTAAATCTGAAGCTTGATGAAAAAAAAATTTATATTTTAATTTTTTATTTATATTTTTCAACATAGTCTCCTTCCATGTCAATGCACTGAATTCAGTAGTGAATATTAGTCGCATTAAACATTACAGATAATTCCAAATCAAATTCTGCTAATACCTGTCATGCTACGGATTTATAGATCCAACCTTGTATTTCTATCATGTTGTATAAAACATACTGTGACAAAATATTGACATATCACAATAATTAATTGCATAAATAGTACTACTAGATTACTAATACTGAAAATATAACCAATCCAACTGAAAATTACTTTGTAGGGACATTATTATTATTATTATTATTATAAATAGATATAAAATAATAATAATGATGATAAAAATTATAAATAAAATGGTAACATTTAAGCTTTGTTTAAAATAAGTTAAATAAAAATAATAAAAAAATTTTTTATATAACATAATATATTTCTATTATGTTATATAAAATATACTGTCACTATAATTACAGCCTGAAGATTGCATTCAAGCATGAAACAGACTTACTGCTCTGTGGTGACCTCAGTTTCCACTTAGATCTAGCATCTTATATATATATATATATATATATATATATATAATATAAAGTGAACATTGAAGTCAATACTCAGAGGCAACAGGTGGCCTGATGATTGCATTTAGCATGAAACATTCTGTTGCCTCTGAGTGTTGACTTCAATGTTCACTTTTATATTTACATACACTCTATCTCTGATATTGAGCACCTTATCCCCTAAATATAGTATACCTTAAAACTATATTTCTTCACATACACACACACACACACACACACACACATATATATATATATATATATATATATATTGTGTATTTAGGCAGCATATTTTCATTTATACATGTTTCATTAAATAATATAGACAAGTGTTGTCTATTTATTTTATGTAAAATTTTTTCGGATCTTCTGATAAGTTTGATAACATTATCATTAACCGAAAAAAGAAATTCACAATATTTATCCATTATTTTTTTTAATATAATCTAAGCTTTTGACTCAAGCCATTATCAAAGATGTAATTACAAACATATCAAACAATATACGGACACGACAGTGATGATAGTCTGTCATTGTTTAGTTTACATAGTGGATCACTAAACAACGATGAACACTTTCGCATATAAGACGCTAGAAGCGAAAAATCGCACCGCATCTCATGACGTCACACATGACTACGAGAGTGAATTGGAGAATGAAATAAGGAAAGCCGTTGGTATAAACCAATAGCTTCTGTTACCAATTATAGAAATTATAGACATTTAAGAATATTTGTAGAGATTCCATAGTTGATTTTGTTTAGGTTGGGTTTTAACTGTTTGATGTATAATGCTTCAAGTATTTTTTAGTTTTTGTCTATTGTTTTCATGTCGAAGTATAGTTGTGTTTTCGACAAGTATTTTACGGAATTGTGTGTGTGGGGCAGGCATGTTGTTTTAAATGCCTAAAATGTTAGTTTTCATTAAAATGTAGTGTCAAGCGTTGTGAAAGCGAGTTTGTGGTGTGACCAACATAAATATTATTTAATTTGTTGGAGATACACTCTCCCAAAGGGCACTTGAATTTATAAACTATGTTGGTTTTTTGCAAATCGCTAACCGGGGGAGAAGGATCATTGCGAAGTATTAAGTTGGATATACTAGATTTAGTGTAGTATATGATTAATTTAATTTTTTTGCTAGGATCTGTAGTTGATATATTAAATTTACTAAATTTTTTTAGTATGTGTTCATCTTGTTTATAATTAGGATGCATTTGATTACGATATAGGAGATTAATATATTTGAGATCAGTAGAAGCAGTATTATGTACAATTTGCTTATTATTGAGATTTCTAAGAAAGCATCTTATTTGTTCATCAACTATATAGTTTGGAAAGCTATTATTAATAAGTGTCTGTTTTATATTCTTTAGTTCACTGTAAAAAAATCTGTTTGGTGGATGAATTAGTTTCTGCGATGTATTAGATTCTTTATAATTGCTATTTTGTAGTAATATGGGCATTCGCTCTTGTAGTTAAGTGTACATGAATTTATGCTTGTAGGTTTTTTTTGTATGGCGAAATAGTAAATTTGTTATTTGTGTTTATCAATATGTCAAGGAAGGGATTTTATTATTAGTATTGAGTTCATATGTGAATTTAAGGACAGAATTATTTTGGAACCGTTTTTGAAGTTGAATTATTTCATCTGTATTTTTAACTAACATAAGAATATCATCAACGTATCTTAGGTAGATTGATGGTTTTTTAAAATCTGTAAATAACTTATTTTCGAGGTTCGACATGTAGAAATTGCTAAATGTCGGGCCCAATACTGAACCCATGGAGACACCATCACGTTGTATATATATATTGTTATTATGATCGAAGAAAGGGACTTCAGTAGTACAAGTTAATAGTAGTTTTCTTAATATATTAGGATTAATTTTAAGTGGGGTAAAGATGAGTTACTGTATATATTTCTTATGATTATGTCAATAGTTTTACATAAAATAGACAACATTTGTCTATATTATTTAATGAAACGTTTATAAATATATATATATATATATATAAATATATATACGTGTATATAAATAAATATATATATATATAATTATTTATATATTATATCATAGTACTTATTAAAGCGCTCAATATCAGAGATAGAGCTAACATATTTGGTTGGATGGATGTGAGTTTATATATATGTTTTTATATATATATATATATATATATATATATATGTGTGTCTGTGTGTATCGTAAATTATTTTACCAATAAATCTATTTTAATTGTGTTCCCAAAAAATTTTCCCTCCTTACCTCATTTTTTTTCCCCCTATTTCATTGTGTGAATTGTTCATTTCTTTGTTCTTGTCAAAAGTCATGAAAATGTTTTCCTTCTGATGACAAAGTGTTGGCTGAATGGATTCCTTAAGGTAAAAATGCCTTCATATATTTTCAAAACTCCCGGGGTGGGCTAGTCAGACTGAACAAATGTGTATCTGTTTCAAAGCAAAAAAATAATCTCTAAGAACATATCATTCATCCTGAACATAAATTTGTGACACAAACCATCAAGAATAAAATAATCTTGAATTGTTTGATTTTACTACATATTATATTTTCATACTTTAAGACGTTCACTAGAATGTTTATACCTTAAAATATTGACTTAAATAAACTTTGCTGAAAATGTTCATGTTACACAAAGAAAAATGTTAACTTAGCTAGCAATTGAGAAAAATCACAACAGAGCTCCAAAATTCTAGTTTTATAAGGCCAAGAGGAAATACTTTTATAAGGCCAAGAGGAAATACTTTTATAAGGCCAAGAGGAAATACTTTTATAAGGCCAAGAGGAAATACTTTTATAAGGCCAAGAGGAAATACTTTTATAAGGCCAAGAGGAAATACTTTTATAAGGCCAAGAGGAAATACTTTTATAAGGCCAAGAGGAAATACTTTTATAAGGCCAAGAGGAAATACTTTTAATAGCATGACTATCAAAAATAATTCTATCAAGAATAAATAAAAATCACAAATTATTTTGTGCTTTCCAAAGAATACCTATTTGTTTTAAATCATGACTTAGAATTATTTTTTCTGTTCATTATCATTTTAAATAAGGTAAAAAAAATAGAAATTTAGGCTTAAAAAATGTCTGAGTGGTGGTGGGGGTAAAGTTCTAATGGCGTGTTTGCTGTTGGGATTTGGCCAGACAAGAAATGGGGTATTAATGTGACAAACGGTTTGAGATCTCCACTTGTTGCCATTAATACAAAAAGATAAACGGAAGGTGACAACAGCTCTCCCCTCCCACACAAAGAGTGAAACACTCATAATTTACATACAGACATATACAAGCATATTAAAAACACAAGAAATTTCGACTTAGAATTACACTACTGTGCATTTATGTGGAATAATTAATTGGGCATAATTTCAGCTGATTTTGAAAATTATCCAACAATATGCCAAAAAAATAAAGCATCACAACCAATCCTCTTATAAGAGGCTCATTGTCTTAATTCTTGTTCCTTTAGTGTCCTCTCTCCTGAATAGTAGTTTTTCTCATATTCACTAACACTTAGAAACCCCTTGAGTCTTTTATTGCCTTGCTTGGGGTGAAATAATGAAAAAAAGAAAAAGATTTTCCTTGAAAATTTTCATTTTGCCCAGCAGTGGTTTGAAAACATTTTTCCAGATTGACACCATTTTTCTTTAATGAACAGAAACCCACACATTCTTTTATTTTTCTGCTTCTCGGTGAACCTAAATCAATTTGCCCCTTCAGAAATTTATGCTCTTTATTAAAAAATAACTGCTTGTTCTTACTCAAAGCTTTTATAAAAAAAGGTTTGTTAAAAATTGTAACCAGTCAGAGCTGGCCTATCACCTCACCAGGGTGGTTTAAGTGGGATGAGCAGACTGAGTTGTGGGTAGGCTAGCAGTAAGAATTAGCACATTGAAATCTGTTCATACCATTTTCACAAGGGGATTGTAATTTTCTGGGGCAGAACCAAAATCTCTACTCCATGGTGAAAGGTCTGAGCCCAAGTAACATTGATGACTTAGAATTTACAACTTGCAATAATAAGATATCTTAAGTTGTTTAAATTTCTTAGAGGACATATTGTTTTCCACATTTTGGATTCAGTTTTGATTTGTCACTCATCAATTCTATGAGAAATTTCTATAAAAGAAATAGTAACATTTGAACATTGACTAGTCTTACATTGGAAGATCTTTTTTAAATTTATAAAGTTGGAATATTGACAGTTTTCAAGATAACATTTGAACATTAAGTATTTGTGTTTAATTGAAATATGAAACCCTCTTCTCTTATTGAAAAATATAATTTATTTTTATTTCAGAAATTTACCTCTTGCCATAATCATTGGAATTCCCACTGTTACATTCTGTTATATTTTGGTCAATGTTGGTTATTTTACTGTCATGTCAAAAGAGGAAATCCTTCTCTCAGATGCTGTTGCTGTGGTAAGCATCAGATTGCACTTTCTGCATTTTTTTTTTCTTAATAAAAATAATAAAGCTTTATTCTGGAAATTGCAAAGAATAAGTTTCTACTTGCATCATTTTAATTTATTCACTCTCATGAAATATTTTGTTCACTGTAATTAATCTTCAGAAAATGTAGAAATCTTTATTTTCTCACTCTTTTTATTTATGCAATTTCTTATTTTTGTGATGAAATGATTATTAATCATTATTAGATTTCAATATAATCATATTTTTTTCTTTTTACTATTTTTCTTTAGTTTTTTCATTTTTCTTGTTTTTCTCTTCTCTTGTCAACAACCCTAAATTAAACAAGATCACCAAAAACTATTTTAATACTTTGAAGAATTTTTCATATAACAGTGATACTAAATTATTTCCTGTCAACAGTAGAGCCCAGTATACAAGCTCAATTTCAAGCATGTATTTGAATGATGGTTCTTCAAGGTTTACTTGGGAGATTGATACAAGACACACTTCTTTTTACTTGTCATATCAACCTAAGATTAGTAACTATCAATAATGGTATATAAAAGTACCATATTGAGCACTTTTTGTGAGTTAGATCCTCACTGGAAGCCTTGATAATGGCCTTGTGTCAGACTAATAATCTAAACAATGCTAAAACTATTATGAAACACGTAAAATCAATGGCAAGAACAATGGAGGAGAAAAATGCAAAATAAACTAAATACAATTGTATCACCCCTCAGGAAAAACCCTGCCATTTATGAAAAATTTAAAATACAAAACCAGAACTGCTCTCTCTAAATATTTGTGCCAATTAGAGAATGATAGCACTCACCATCAATCAACTGGGAAATTATATCCAGGGCTAAGGTTTATAACAGGAAATAAATGCAATTTATGTCTTGTTGAAAGCTGGTTATCTTAAAACACTTAAATAACCCTAACTTATTAAAAGGTAAGAAGGTAGGGGTTACTATAACACCACTACAAATAGGTTACACTAAAATTATGCATTCATTCTTATTGAAAAAAAAATAACAACCATGGTGTTCTACATGTCAAATCCAATATAATGTAAGACATTTTCTAATTGAATGCATTGATCTTGAATCCAAAAGACAATTTTTTCAAGGCAAACAGCCTAAAAGAATTATTCAAAATATTAAAATAAGCAGAATTATAACATTCTTGAACTCATTTGGATTATATCTGAAAAACAAAACAAAACAAACAAAAACATTGTCCTTTTTCCCTAAATATAAACCAAAATAAATCTGTTTTGGCATAAAATGACTCTGAAGAGTTGATATGCCATGAAAAATCCACTTAAACTTAATCTGTTTTCAGGTTCCAAGCTTCCAAAATTATAGAACTTTTGAAACTTATTGCATATCATTTTGTTTATTATTATTTCATTGTTGAAAGTTTTATTCAAGGTTCTATTGTCATATCAGCAAATTCTGGTCATAGTCAATATTATTTTTCTGTTGTTAACAATAGTTGTAAGTTAAACTGTTATATTTTCAGTTTTGTTTTACTATGGATAATTAAATTTCTTGTAGCCAACTAATGTTACAGAATGCATAGTCTAGACAAAAATAGAAAAATTGTGAATTCATTAGTGAATCTAATTTCAGGCAGTACCATATTAGGCCACTAGAACTCAGAGACAACATGCCACATAATAATTTCTGTAGATGCTGTAACCTGTTTGAGACATTGAATTGTTGAGTTTGTCACTTGTTCTTGATAATGACTTCAGTATTATAGTTAACATTGGAATTTTCATCTGTGTGTGTGTGTGTGATTTCTGTACTTCTGCATGTGTGACATTAAAGATCCCTACATGGATTGCTGAAGACATCTACCCACCATCCCAATGGGTATAAAAACAATAACAGAATTAATAACAGTGTTTCTACTCTTTTATTATTTTTCTCAGGTTTGGGGACAGAAGCTGCTTGGTGTGATGGCATGGGTGATGCCAGTTTTTGTTGTCCTGTCATGTTTTGGAGCAGCAAATGGTAGTTTGTTCTCAAGTGGCAGGTAAGATACAAGTTTCAATAATTATGGTAAGATATCTGTCCAAAATGAATCCAGTCATTCAAGAACCAGTTGTGTAGTTTTGGTAAGAAAGCAGAGGCAACCCTACTCGATGTGTAGATGAACAGAGCACCACTTTCCTGCAGGGTTTACTCAGTTGCCAGTGAGACACCATTGAACACTGCATGATGTTGCATTCACAATTCCCAAGCCAGTTGATTCTTCACATTTCATGCAGTCTTTTTAGCAAAGCGCCAACCAGGTCACTAGCATCCTTCCCAAATCCAGGTATCCTCCCTGGCTTTTTCCAAAGAAAAATTGCCATATAAGAAAAATACAATGAAGTAACTGATTTCCCCATTTCCTGAAAAGTACTTGAATCCCACTCCCCAGAGAAGATTGTTTTGAAAATTGGAAGGGACTCTTAAGTGCATGAAATCTCAAGAGGAGTAATTTGAAGGTGACTAAGCTGTCATTGCCCTAAAAAGGCTGCTTTTTTGTTAATATTAATATGAAAAATAGACCAGTTGAGAAAAAAACTGAAAAAATTTTTTAAAGTTCACTAACTAAATATTACCACCACCACCAATGCAAAAGTGATCAGCTTTCTCGATGTAACCTTAGACTTGAATAGTATTTTTTATAAACCATACACAAAGGATATATGTAACCATACATACGTTAGTAAACAATCAAACCACCACCACCATAAAATTCTAGATATTTTATGCAAATCTGTTCAAGTTGGATTATCCTCAAATTGCAGCAATATGGAAAATATTTAACAAGTCAAAATGTAAATATATACAAGCTTTTGAACTAAGCAATCATAAAGTAAATTTTAGAGTATTTAGAAATAAACAAAAAAGGTAGACATAAGCAGAAACACCATAAATACAACATTGTTGTTTAATCCACCTTTTAATTGTAATGTCAAAACTAATATTGGAAGAATTTTTTAGCTGCGTTAATAACATAGACACATCCATCTCCTATCATAACAACATTATATTAAACAAACATATTTCCAACAAAGACAACGTTAAATTCTTCTAAAAATAAATGCAACTGCCATAAAAATATGATCTGTCCCTTAAATGGTTAATGTATGACTGATAATATTATATAGTGAGTGAACAAACATTTCGGTAACTATGTTAAATTTTATTTTGGTTCCATGGAAAAGCCTTGGAAATTTCGTCTTTACCAATATAGAATGACCTTAAATAATTTAAAATACAAAAACGCCACTGCTCTTTCTAAATATTTCTGGCAATTAAAGAATGATGGCATTTCACTGTCAATCAACTGAGAAATTATATCAAGGGATAAGGTTTATAACAGTAAAGGAAATATAATGCAATTTATATCTTGTTAAAAAGCTGGTTATCTTAAAACACTTAAATAACCCTAACTTATTAAGCAAGAGAAATGAATTGATGATTACATGTTGGCATAAAAATATATATATTCTTAAATATGTTGATCCAGGTTAATATTTTTAATTTCAATTAATAATTTTTATCTTTTATTTTGAAATAATTTTTGTAATTGTTATTTATAATGCTATTTACAGTCTATTTTTGATAAATTACTATTAAATATATTTTTGTTTTAATAAGAACAAGTAATCTCCCTTTAATTATATAATTTAAAAAAAATGAATTTTCCAAATCTCAAATATATATTTTAATTTTTTCTTTTTTACATACATATATAAATTCGGCTTATTTTAATTGACTAATATAATTTTCAAATTTCCAAATTAAAAAAACCTGTAATCCCAGCATAATATATAACTATGCCAACATTGTGATAACCAAATATAATTGAAAACTGTATAACAGTCAGTTCATATTCAGCACATGAAGATTGTGTCAGATTCGTGCTAGCAGTAAAGGATAATAATTAATTATTAATATATAATTAATAGCTCTGTTATATTACATTGAGCATTGCTTTATTAACACCAGAACTATATGTGTGATCGATTATAATTGTATATATTCTCAGATGGAGTGTATCTGTAGAAGAGACAAAAATAAAAACTTTCCTTGATAAAATCCTTCAGGGGACGAAATGCATTGGCTAAATATAGTTTTTCCTCATCTCTTTTTATTCATATAAATTAATATATATCTTCATTAAGCATGTCTCATTAAATAATATTGACATATGTTTATTTTTATTTTATAATGATCCTTTCTAGTTCTCTAATTAGCTTCATGATGTAGGTAGGCACAGTATTTTTTGTTAACTCAAGTATTTTCAATCTCCTCCCTCCAAGATCATCCTTAGGAATGAATTGTGATGACAAACTTAATGTATCTGTAATTATTGTGATAGTGATTTTTTTTTTTTTTTTTGCAAACATGCTCTCTATATCAAAAGCAATCAGCCAATACTAATTTCAGTAAAATTCAGGTAGTATCCAAGACAAAAAATATAATGTGACTTGAAAATTTTTTTTTAATGTTTTATTGATAATGGATACAAACTTGTGGAGCATGCAGTCACAATGCTAAGGTTGAATAAGGTTGTAAAAAAAAAAAATTCTCAAATTGCCACATTAGAAAAAAACACACTCACTTAAATTTTCAAAAAACTTCAACTTTAGTGTTGTGACTGCACACTCCACAAGTTTTTATCCATTATCAATAACACATTTTAAAAATAAAAAAAATGATTCACATTTCATATATATATATATATATATATATATATATATATATATATATATCTCCCATGGCTCACGGAATATATACCCAAACACTGTTATATATGACTTGTCAATGTGAAAATCAGTTACCAAAATTTAAAAAATTGCTTTCTGTTTTAAATCTGTGATTAATTATATTTTTCTAGAAATTTAAGGAAAACTCAAGTTCATTTCCTTTTAGATCTTTTGTGTGTGTTGTGTCCTTGCCTATTTGTAGCTAAACCAACATGAACTGGTCTTAGGACATAAAATAGTTTAACCCTTATTCTCGCACACACACTACTCTCCACTGTCTATCTCTTTTTCCATGGGAATTGCAAATGTTCTCTTTAGCGATGATAATCCTGGCTGCTGCAAGCCAACTTCTTTTGGGTTCATTTCTGTCTGTCTCTTCACTCCAGCCATAGGAATTGTAGGCATGCTTTTTAGTTACAACTGTCTTATGAGCAATCTTGGTGGTGGGGGGGACTTTGAGCTGACTCCCTCTAAGGCTTATCTCAATCTTTGTTTTTATTCTGGCCATGGGAAATGCAACCAGAAGGAATCTTTGGCAACCTTTCTTGTTGGGCTGATTCTCTGACAGTCTTTGTTTTTGCTCTAGCCATGAAAAATGTGAACTAAATGAAACTCTAGATACATTCCTAGTTGGGCCTGTTACTGTGCATGTGTGTCTTGGCCTGGGGAGTTCTCATCTTCCCCCACAACTTCTCCACACTGACTGTCTTCATCTTAAAAGATCTTGTTAAAAACCATATGTTGCTCTTTGTTTAGAATCTTCCTAGATATATTTCTGTAAATATAATTGTGTTCTTGGGTAATCAACATAAACAAATGCCTAACAAAATTCAAAATTCTTCTTTGTTTAGAATAATTTGTATGAAAACATGTTTTGGACAGAGAGTATAATGTAAACAAATCTCTGAACTTAATTTCTCAGGACTAAAGAAATTCAGAAAACACATTGTCTTATCAGCAAGTGGTGGTTGGGTGGTGAAACTTGGTTTTGCTCAGTTTTTTCTGAATCTTGGTTATAGTTAATTTGGGGTTTGATTTTCCTTGGAACTATTCTTAAATTAATTTTATTCTAAAACAATTTTTAATCTGTTTCTTTATTTTATTTTTTCTCAAACATTCAATCTACTCTCCTGAGAATTTTAATAATTATTATTTAATCCATCACTCCAAATCACCATCCTGTAATTCCATGCAAGTAAATGTTTAAACAGTGGCCCTGTTTACAATAAGATTTGTTTTTTTTTTCTTTTGGTTTTTTAAGTGAAGGTCACAGAAAATGTACATGGAGGTAATTCTTAAAATCTCTTGTGTGACTTGCTTGATTTGCATTTAGTGAAAATGATTTTCTTAAATGTGCATTGGCATATTTAAAGAAGCTGAAGAAAATGGTGGAAAATATGACTGAAGAAAAACAGCACAAAAGAACTTGTCAATCTTAACATGGAAGAAAGTATGAAAACCTGCAAGAATTTTGAAGATGTGATCAGAAGGTTGAGGAAAAATTTATATCATAAAAAACCAAGATTAATTCAGTCAGCGTTAGACGAATGTTTTTCTAACTCTTAAATGAAAAATATCAGAATTAGTTTTACTCATCTTTTGTTATATTCTGCAGCTAAAACTTGTTTGTAAAACTTTTTTAAAGTTTTCTGAGAGGCTGGAAAGTCATTGTAATTATTCCTGTTGGTTCTATGAATTTGTTTTACAAGATAGAAAAACTGGGAAGAATTGTTTAAAATTGCATTTGCCTAGACTGGAAATAAACTATTTTATTAATCAACTTTTTCAATATTTTCAGATTAAATTTTGTGGTTGCAAGAAATGGACATTTAATGAAAGCTTTCTCTTTTATTCATACTGAACGATACACGCCAGTTCCGTCAATTATATTCACAGTAAGTTCTTTATTTGATCATTTACTCAGCCAATTTAATTTACTACTTTCTTGTATCAATTATATTCATCTCAGCCATTTATGGCTAATATCACAAGTAGGAATTATTAAACAAATACTCAGTTCAGATGTAATTATTAATGTAAGAGAGGGTGGGGGAAATCAGTCAAAATATGTGGGGACGGTTTTACTGTGCTGATTTTCTGTATTTATAATGAAGTATTTTTTGTAGTTGACAAAAGAATTTAATAACACTCCACCAAATTTTACAACTTTTAATGCTGAAATTGGTTGAAACAAAACTTCTATTTCCTGTGCATTGGAAAAAATGGACTGGTCAGGTTTGGTTTAGTTTTGTTTCAGATTTACAGTTCATCAAACACTATGGTCAGCTAAAGGTTTAGAATTGTGGTTGTTTTGGCCATAGCTTGATGTTATTTTTTTAAGCAATTCACCCTAAGCAAGGTGGGAGTGACACTAGCATGCAGGGAGTTACAGAGAGTGAAATGAGGGTAAAGACTGTGTATAGATGGGACTGAGGAAAGGATAAATGAAGAATGGGGATCAAGGCAACAGAAGATGGTGATTGATGCTGCATTTAAATTTTTGAATATTGTGGTTATCAGGGAAGTAAGTTAGAGGAAAAGAGTTTCACTTTTGGTAAGTGCAAGAAAAGAAACTGCTGAAGTAGAAATGGCGGTTACCTTTAACTATTTTAGCAATAAAAGGGTAGAACCTATATGCCAATCTAGTAAGACACTTAAATTCTTGTAGTCAGGGCATGAGGGAAGATAGCTCATCAGAACAGTTTCCAGGAAAATATTTGTAGAAAAGACAGAGGGAAGCCATATCACAGCAATGAGAAAGTGACTGAAGCCAAGAGGTCAAGGCAGGACCAGTTACATTGCAGATCCTTCTTTGGATTTTGTCAAGAACCTTGAGATGAACAGCAGGGACACCAGACCAACAATATTCAATGCATGGATGAAGGGTAGATTTGTAAGATGGACTCTGATGAGAAAAACCTAGCATGAACCAACTTTCCTTGCAGTAGATGCAGCTATTGATTCAATCTAGTTGTTCTACCTCAAGTCATTGGAAAACATGAGGCCAAAGAGACACAGTGAGACACTCTCATGGAGTCGAACATCAACCATGCTGATGTGGAGACAAGGAAGTTTCTCTGTGGTGGTTTTATTTGGATTAGTCATAGTTTTGGTTACAGGTTAGTTGGTGAAAGTTTTTTTTTTACTTTTAGTCATTTTGTATTCAGTTTCTGATACAAGTTGGTTATTAGTTTGCTTGTTATTTTTAGTGGGGATCTTTATGAAGTCTGAAGGTTTCTTTTCCCTTTTTTCAGTTTTCAAAATATATTGAAGGTTTTACGTAGTTTTGCTGGGAGCTTTTATATTTTGGTATAAAGTTTAACTTCCTTTAAGAAATTAAGGATATTGTAATATTTTGTTTGGGTTTGACTGAGATGATAGCAACTTATGTTCAACTGTGAGAGGTACTTGACATCTGTTGCATGATGGGGGAATTTCATTTTTTAGTAGATGTGAATGTGTCAGATTTGTATGTCCTTTTCAGACTCTGGATAAAAATATTTCCTCTCTTATTTTTCTGAAATCTGGAAGCTATGCAGTCAGAAATTGTGTTACTAACAAAATAAAGCTAATGTATAATTGGTAAAAGGCTTTATTTATGAAATGCAACTACATCAATTTCCTAACTAGAGATTATTTAGTGAATTTATTTTTGTTGGATTTTGAATGAATGTAAGTTTTCTTTTCCTTTTTTCCATTAATTTGTCCTACATTCTAAATATATCTTATGTAGATCTTATGTGGAACAGATCAAAAAGAATTTGCCAGTATTATAGTATCAGGATAGTAATTAATAGTAAATCTACTCTTTACCAGAAGAAAGCCTGACAAAAATTATTTACTTACCTTGCATGCATGCATGCATGCATTTATATATATATATATATATATATATATATATATATATATATATATATATATATATATTTTTGGTTGATAGATCTGAGTTTGCGACCCTGGGTTTCACGCTTTAGCGATCGTCAGACCAACTGATGAATTTTTTAAAAATTTGGGTTTATGTATATTGCGCGTATTGGTGTTATTGTGGAAGTGATGGGGGAAACTTTGTTGCTTATGTCTGCGTACTAACATAAACATCGATGTATGCAGACAGATATAAATACTTGGTCGTCCGTCAGGACTCATACATATATAAACAACTTTTCATATATATATATATATATATATATATATATTTATATATATATATATATATAAGAGGGAACCAGCCATAATTAAATGGTGAGATGGAAAACCTGAGAGAGAGAGAGAGAGAATGGTATGCTCTACTTACCTTGTGATGGTCTAGATAATTGATAGAATCCTCTTTGGGGATTGAATCTGAATAAAGCAAACAAGTGGGAGGCAGGGATAAGTCTGGCTAGCATGGGTTTCAACATGTTGTTTTCTTGGCGTTGCAAGAGTGGATATTCTTTACACTTTCTTGCACTTGTGAAATGAGTGTCATTATTTTGGGAAAAATTAGTGATTGTTTTTACAAGAATATAAAGAAATGCAGCCAATGTCTGAGTGACCGCAGACATTTGGCAGAGACTGATTTCCACATTGTATTCTTAAATTCAAAACTTATATTTTTTTTTATTAATTGCCCAAATTATTAAAAAAAAAAAATTATTTTTTTTAAGTGTTAAATAGTGAAATTGAAAATTTATTTGTCCTTGTCATTCAAATGTAGCCCAAAGAAAGTTCTGCTAAAAGTCATTGATCAGATTTTGTTGGTGTGATCTACTTTGAGTTACTACCAGTCAATTTTACAATCATACTAGATATTGTCGGCAATCAGTGTTTAAACAGTTGTTTGAAGGAAATGAGGCCCAGTTGTGCCATTTCATTCTGATATGGTATGTGTCCCAGACACCAAAGTTTTGGAATGAAACCCTACACATTTTTGATATTTCTGTTTACAAACATTGAATACACTGATTGGAAAATTTTCCAAATTTCATAAATCCCTTATTTGTTTCTTGATAGACTAGTTCTTAAAACACATAAATGGGGGAAACTCAAATGTTTACAAAATCACCCTCATTGATTATGATGGAACTAATTTTATTGAATAAATTCAAATCTGACTTTAAAATTAGGGATCAACCTGAAGTATCTCTAAAATTTTTAATTTTTTTTTTTTTACAATAGAAAACCAAAAAAATCTTAAACACTTGTTCAAAGTGTTAATTATAAAATATAAAAATTCAGTTGTTTTTCAATTTTTATAAAGTCTCCATTCTTTCATCTTGCTTTTTGTTAATTACTTTTTCAGACTTTTGTTGGAATTTTATTGATCTTGATCTTTAACCTTGGGACACTCATCCAGTTCTTTAGTTTCACTGCCTGGATATTCCATGGTTTAACATGTGCCTGTGTTTTGGTGCTGCGTCGGACACAGAAAGATTTGAAACGCCCTTACAAGGTAAATATTTAATGGAATATTCTTACCCTTGAATGATTTTTTTTTTTTTTTTAGGCAAACATTAATTTTTAAACACATACTGAAGTAGTTAAAGATTACATGCAAAACGAGTACTTTTTTTTTTTTTTGACTGTCATTCGTCAAGGGACATAACTGTTAAGTTTTTAGATCACTTGCTTATTCAACAATTTTAAGTTGCAAAATAGTAAGAGTTGTGAATTAAAAAATGAAAATAAAATGGAAAAAATATTAAAAAAAAAAAAAAAAATGAATGAAAATACTTTGTCTGTGAAATTTGATGATTCTTTCTAATATGAGTCCAAGCAACTTGTGTATTATAGTAATTTTCATATTGCTGCTTTTAAAAGTAACTGAAAACCAAGTGAGTGTAAAGAAAAAAAAACTGTCATGGCATTCTGCTGAAGATAATACTAGTGACTATCAGTTAGAATGTACATATTAAACATTTATTTTGATTTTTGACTAAATTTGTTCTTTCAAACTTGAAATGTTGATAATATTTTTTTTTCTCTTCTTAGGTTCCTTTATTCATTCCTGTTCTTGTCATCTTTGGTGCCATTTACCTTGTAGTGACACCAATCATTCTTGACCCACGCATCGAGTTCTTCTATGCATTTATGTTTGTTGTTAGTGGTCTTGTGGTTTATTTCCCATTTATCCATTTTAAACTGAAGATGCCATATGTTGGTGAGTATAAAAACTGTTCCATTTTATCAAAATATTATTAATTCAATCTTGTATACTTCATTTAACTAACAAGGTCAGTGGTTAGGTTAATTTTCTCCTGACATTGGCAAAGGGTGTTAACAGATTTCTAATTTTGGGAGTATGTTTTGTTTCACTCATTTGTATCAACTAGTGTGACATGCCAGTAATTAGACATTTAAAACCTCCTGTCAATGATACCGAACACAAGATTAGTTTCAAGTGAGTACAAAAAATCTGAGCTGGATGGCAATTAGATAGGCTAATGAGATGTAAATTGATATTTTGTTTTCTAAGACAATAAATGGTGGGAAATAAGTCATAATTTTGAAATCTGCTGCAGGAGGAAAGAGCAACTGAAGTAAAGAAGTTTCAAAATTGCATCCATTTTCTATCATTCAACCTGGTTAAACAGTGAGTAAATGTGTGGATGGATGGCAGATTTTTTTTTTTTTTTTTTTACAACTATTTCTTTGCAGTTGTTTTACATGGTTGAGATTGTGTGACATATTAGACCAAAATTCATTTCAGCTCAAATTGAAATATTCCAAAACAATATAATGCACATTAGAAATGGAACCAATTTGCTTTCACTCTTGTTGATACCCACCATAGCAAATCCTTGAAACTATTTGGACAGATTAAAAGATCTAATGCATGGTTCACTAAAATGTGTCTTGAATGAATGTTGCTTGGGAAAGGACAAATGAGAACAGAGGTGGAGCAATAATTCTGTGGTCACCAACTAACTCAGCTTGTTCAAGATTATAAATGGTGGGGGGGAAATAAGTCCTGTTAGCTTGCAATCTACTGCAGGCAGAAACCATAACTAATTATTAGCTACTGCTTATGCCTGAGCAACCCTAGATTTTTTTTTCCTGATTTGTAACTCAAATATGATCAAGCACCCCCACTGAGTCTTATGTAATTTAATCTGGGTAGCAAATTGAAGTTTGATCTTGATTCAACAATTCTATCCTGTTTTGTAGTTATATGAATTCTAAAAGAGAATTGACCTCAAATAGCTTTTTTGCTGGTATAATCCTCTGGCATCAAATCACATTGTGTAAAGCTGTTCATCTGAGCAACTTTGTACAGGCCATTTGCTGCTCTTCACTTCTGATTTTGTTTTTTATTTCAGCTTTCTAGAAACTAAATAATTTTTTTTTTTTTATCTATTTACAGATAAATTTACACGGACTCTCCAGCTGTTATTAAAGATTACATATCCTCACAGCAACTGAACTTGAGACAAATCTGATGCTTGGAAAATAAGGAAAAAAAAATTTTTCTCATAATTAAATAATTATTGATTGGAAGTCCTCCTTTGAAAAGGATTCAGATTGATTTTTAAAGCCTACATCAGTGATACTGTATCATCCATACAAACTGAAAATGAAAATGCATTAGTGAGCAAATGTCCAAACCCACATGCATTCAAATCAGGAATCATGACAATAATTCATATAAAGTGTTTTAAAGCAAAAAAAAAAAAAAAAGCAGAACTGAGAATATTTTACAAATTACTCAAGGGAAACAATTTACATTATTTTTCATTTTAGCCCATGAACTGAGATATAAGATTGTTTGGAAAGTAATCCTATGTTTTTGGAGACAGAATTTAACTCTTGTTATGTTTGAACAAATTTTGACTGATCTGTCAAGAAAATAATCCTTATTAGGAATAAGAAAATCTCAGTGTGATTCCATGTTCAGAATCTGAGTTTCTTTCAACAAAAAAAATAAAAATAAAATAAAATAAATAAATTGAGCTCTTCAGAGTAAAGAGGAAAAAGTTAAAATCTCTGAAGATGAATTCATTAGTTTGTGAAGATTTGCGTCAGCATCATTAACTGATACACTTTCAAACTTTCTTTTATTCAGATCATCATTTCATGTTAAAGGCCCTGTGTGGAACTGATTTCTTTTTATCAGAATTCTTTTCAGTCAGAATATTTTTACTTATTGAAAGAATGAATTTAATTGGTGGCTTTTGTCACTGCTAATAATAATGATTGTGTTCTTGACAAAGGAAGTTAATATTTATTTCTTCCTCTACAAAAATGTACAAGTTTCTGAACAATCTTGTATGAATTTATTTTCACATAGTAGACAGGAAATATTTTTATTTCAATGGTTCTATAATCCTGTAAAATGCTCAATGAATAATTTGGAAAAAGACAGTTTTTCTGGAGACATCTCAATACCATATTTTTTTTTTTTTTTTTTTTTAGTCCATTATAAAGTGGTAAATAAAATTAGTTTATAAACTTGCTGAAAAATCAGTTTGGGGAAAAAAGTGTCTTGTATGATTTTTTGACTGCTGCAACTTTCGTCATTCTCACAGAATAATAAAAAAAAAAAAATAAAGCCAGATTTTTCAACCAAAGATAAAATTGATGACTTGGAATCTTCACAAAAAAATTTCATCATATCTTAGAAGATAAATAGGAGAAAAAAAATGAAATTATAAGAAGAAAACTTTTTTTATTGGATGACAGATTTGTTGTCAAAATTTATTTTTATGAATAATTACATGAAAAATGATAACTGAGTTTCAAAGAATCCCCCCGCCCCCCAATTAGAAAAGCTTTAAAAAGTTACTATTATTGTACTGAAAAAGTTTTTTTTAATTTGTTAAATAATAGATTAAATTAGCAGATTAAAAAAAATTTTTTAGTGAAAAATTGAAAAGGGTCTTTTGAGAATTTTAATTATTCAATAGCAAAGTAAATTTGTATATTTGCTGAAGTGAAAAATTACCTGGAAATGGTCAAATATTTTTAATATGCACAAAAGACCATTTCATCTTTAAAAGTCAAAGGAAACTGGAGAGAAAAAGGATCTTAGACAAAATTTTCATTTTGTATTTAAAACGACTTTGGAAAGTAATTTTTTTATTAGTATTTTAATGCATCAACATTTTTAAACCACTTTTTGTAAACATTACTCTGGATTAAAAACAAATTTAAAAAAAATAACCTGGCTTTTCATAAATTTTATTTTTTTTTTTTTTTTTTTTTCAGGCTTACAAGTTTTTGAAAAGTATCCCACACCCACTTACTGGATTCGGCTAATGAAATTTTAAATAAGAGTTTAATCGGTCAAATTTCTTGCCGGTCAAATGTGATTTACTGGTTTAAAAAAAAAAAAAAAAAAAATGGAAAGGTTGTCTGCAAACAGCATGAATCAGAAATAAGTGTCCTTATCCTCAGCTGCCTTACCAATTAGGCTACAAAAACCTACTTAAATCTAACCATAGAATTTTAATCTAGCCACACACTTATTCTCCAAACCAGACTGCTTACTAACAATGGACAACCTGGGGACTGATAAAAACAAATGAAGGAATATATGTAAAAAAAATTTAAAGCACTTTCCTGGAAGAATCAATGCATGAATGTGCAACAAAACTTACCTCCTTCCAATATTAAAAATATGTACAGATTATGGAAGCAATTATTTACAAAGTCTATTTTGATAATGATTTTACTATAGAAATTAGTCTCTTCCATATTTTATTTCTTTTAAGATCTTGACATTGAAACCATATCCTGAATTTTTAATGTATAATTTCTTACTTAATAGTTGTAGAATATGAAAAAGAAAAAAAATGACTGTAGCACTGCTATAGAAAGTAAGATGGATAAGTCAGTAATTAAGAATAAAAATGCTTTATCTCAAAGTTGAATTTTTTGGCTGCATTATTATTAATGAATTTTTTTTTTTTTTTTATGGGCAACAACTAATATTCCTGGAATAATAGTGTGAGTAATCAACTTGCCTTGTAAGATAATTTTTTTTTTCCAAGATGACACATCGAGTTTGTGAGGCATGTGATGTGATCTCATTCGAAACCACCTTTTTATTTTTTCTTAATTCTCAATTCCGGAAAGTTAATTTAAAACCTGAAAAATAGACTAAAAATCCTGGAAGCAACAAAGAAAATGGGAGAACTAAGGCAAATATGACAGTTATTATCATAATAAAAAGTATTTAACTGATAACCTTCCTCAGTGATATAAATCACAACTTCTGCAATCAACCAACTGTTTCATTCCAAAAGCAATACAAAAACAACGTTTTAGAAAACGAACCAAGTAAAAAATAACAAAAAAAAAAAAAAAAATTTCAGCAAACTTTTTGTTGATTTTAATAAAGGGGAGATATTCTCAAAATTTAATTTCCTGTGGTAGGAAGTACAGAGGGGGAGAGATTTTTCTTTTCCCCCTTTTTCAAATACACCAGCAATTGGGTAGCACTATTTCAATACACAGCATTAACACTGATCATAGCTAGAGGTGTTGGACAGAAATCTATAACTTTTACAAACTGTATTGCATAACCACTAGTTTGTATTACAAACTGTATTGCATAACCACTAGTAAAGGAAGTAGAAATACTTGGTTGAAAAATTTTACTCTAACAATAAAATTTTTATGAAGAAAAAAAAAACAAAATTAGTTGAAAGATTTATTTTGGAAAAAGTGATCTACTGTGGAATTGTAAGTGGATTGCTGAGACAAAGAAATATTAAATGGCATTTCATCTCTGCACTCCTTATCATACATTCCAAGATTTTTCTGCAATCAAGAAGGTGTTAATCGTATGTCCTTCCTGTTCTTTGATCAATGTGAGATTGTTGTTGTGCTTGTCTTTAATGGATTCAGACTGTTCTATCTGTTCATTAAATTGAATAAGAATTGGTACGTTTTGCTTTCGGGAAGTCATGGTAAGTAAGTAGAGAGAGAGCATTAAGGGTTCAATTCTTGTGCCAGCCAAAGATCTGTAAATGTCATAATAGATGCTTTTGTCTGTTTTCATTATCAAATGCATTTTTGGTGCTGCAAGTTCAGTCTTAATTAAGAAAGTTATCAACTTTTAATTTTAGACTTGTTAATAGTTAACTAAATGGGGTTATGAAGATTGGCATAACACAATCATCTTAATAAGGATTTGTCTTAAAAATCAGCATTTGAAATCCTAGGCTTGAATACCAACCCTTGCTGCTGATAGAAAATACCCCCCCCCAAAAAAAAACCTGATCCACTGAATAAGCAAATATATTATGACGCATTTTCTATGTTTTTTGTTTTAATTTTATTTTTATTCTCAAAAATTGTGTGGTGAAATTGCAATAAGTTTAAGATACCTCATCCAACAAGTGTTCAACAAGGCAAATAAATTTTGTATATAAAAGTTAGTCAATTGTTAGAAAAAGTTAAAAAACAAATAAATGATAGAAAATGTACTTTGGGACACTTGAAAAAATTTTTACTTTATTAAAATAAAAGCATAGGTAAATTTTTTTGTAACTTTTATTGTTTAGTACAAATATAATTTGTATTCTACTTGATTTCAAATTTTTCTTCATCTTCATCCCCTGAATCTCCATTCGTAAGGAGAAACCGATTTGTATTCTCGTCAAACAAAACAACAACTTTTTGATAACGGTATGCCCAGCATAATTTGTTGTTAGACTGAGCATAGTATATAATAGCAACAGCAGCAATAAGAACCAGTGTAAAGATACTAAATAACACTGAAAGAATAATAAAGGTTTTTTCATTTTCTTTCTGAAAAGACCTGGATTTTGTTGTGTGATTTAAACACATATCTGAAAAAGAGAGAGAGAAAAGAATAAAGTGAAAAATTATGTCAATTTTTCAGAGAAGCGCTGAAAGAGAAACAAACATTCCTTGGAAGTGTCTAGCAATTACACCTCCTGATATACAGTGCTAATTAATATTTTCATTACTTTACCTATTAAGTACTAAACCATGTTAATTACATAATTTCCCCACTTTGGAAATTTGCACCTGATCTTCATTTTATCCTCCACTGCTGTGACTGCCTTTTCAGTATTGCTGGAGGAATCCTCATTTTGCTATTCTTAGCAAACACACATCAGTGAAAAAAAAACATTGGTGCCAAATATACTATTTTATATATATATATATATATATAGAAAGAGAGAAAGAGCTTTTGGCTTTCCAATTTTGTGGATGCTAATGTGCTGGTGTCGAGCTGTCGGTTCCTAAGAACTGAACTGCTTGACCCTCATATGTTGAATACGACAGGAGAGTCCACCATATATATATATATATATATGGGAAAATGATATATTTTATATATCAACAACAATTATAGGGAACTCTATGACAAAAGTGGAAATAATTTTTGTGTGGCACATTTCATTCGTTAGGTCTACATCAGACTAAAGTGATATTCATATGACTACACATGCATAGAAAAGAACAGGTATGCTAAGAATTTGAAATTTAACTCCTTCCTTGCTAATTATTAAATTACTTGTAAGGTGTTCTGCAGTTGCAGACCCCAGATGCATTTATATCTTTTGGTCTTTGAGCTTTGAAGATCTGTTGGCTTTTTTTTTTTTTTATAATTTTCTTTTAATTTGCCATTTTATAGTGAATATTGAAAAAAAAATTTTTTTTTCTCTGGTTCTTCCTATCTTTGTTTGAATACATTATATACATTTTTAATATGTCCATATTAAAAAATTTTATATTCAGTTTATAATCTTACCGGGTTCATCACAGGAAATCAGTCGGCTGTCTTTGATACATTGTTTGTTTATCATTTTGTACGTGGGTCGACAGGAGATACATTGTAAAGTGCTAGGTCCATAGCACCTCATGCAATATTTGTGACATCTACAAGGTATGAAGAAAAAAAAAGAAAATATAGAATTGGTTGATAATATAAATGAAGCAAAATTAAAAACAAAAGGAAAAAAAAGCCTTTATTGGTTCCTTCAACAAGCTAACTTGAATTAGTATATTATATAGGTAATTCTTGATAAGTCAATTGTCAAGAGTACATTTTCCTATCAAGAAACTCTTATCTAATTCTTCAGTGTGTATTTATCATTTTGAAACATATTTTTAAGATTTTCAAACCCATGAATTTAAATAAAAAAAAAAAATCCTCATTTTACATAGAAGAACTAACTCAGACTTGTGGAAATTCCATGGGTGTTGACATCTAACCTTCTCCATGACCTTGTGCCTGTCATCTCATTTTTCATTACCTGTATATAATTTTTATCTAAATATTAGACAAAGATGGATTAATTTTGCTGCATCCTTTCTCATGCTTATCTCCCCACAAAGAATTTCAGTTTTTTATGTGTTTTATCTCTCTGCATTTCAATCTTCCATGCATTGTTTCTTGATACACACCCAGTAAACCAGTCCCTCCAGATATCTAACACTTATTTGGATGTTTAAATCCCCTGTTTGTATACTCTTGCTGGATAACATGCACTCTCCCAGAAACTGTAACTAAGGTCTGCTCAGCATAATTACATTATAAACCATAGGTGGGCTCTGTGGGTGTTGAACAAACACAAATGTGCCTGAGAAGGCGTCTGCAACAGGGATTATCTAGCTGTCCTAGTAAACTGGCATTCTCGGATGACATCCTTGTTGTTGTTGTTGCTGACATAATATTTTGGTTGATTCATTCTTCAGCCTTCATCAGGTATAACTGAAATGGAAAACTGCCTTCTCCAATAAATGATTCAAGTTAGGTTTTCTTTTTGTTATGGATTTCACCTGGAATATTTGTTGTTAACACAAAGTTAGCTATGTTAGTGATCTTAGTAGGTTTGCCATGAAAATTTTTAACATTCATTATTAAATTATTTTCAAAAGAAGTCCAAAGCACAATAAATGTACATATCTAAAGCAAACCCACTTTAAATTGATTATACGAGTATATGTAAATGGCATGGCCACTCATAACCGAGGCTGCCAGTCTACTAGGGTGGCTAGTTAATCCCCGTTGCTTGCTCAGGCTCATTTGTGTATGTTCAACACCCACAGAGCCCACCTGTGGTTTATTCTGCAATTATGCTGAACGAACCATAGTTACAGTTTCTGGGAGAGCGTGTATTACTAAGTGCGATCGACAGTCTGAACAAGGCTATCACGCTCAAACCCACAACCACAAAAATTGACCATGGTGAGATTCAAACTCGAGTCTCATGGTCAGAAAGGGAATGTTCTAACCACTCAGCCATGTGTCCATATGAGTATATGATTGTTATAATAAAAATAAACATGATGAGGTTTGGTATAATTTGTAGATTTACTTCAATTTTATTAAGGAAATAATGAAAATATTCTCACATCTGCAGATAAAATTAAGGAATTTCAGAGAAAAATTAGTGTCCTGGAAGGAAAGGATTCTTTTAAACCTTTCCTTCCATAAAAAGATGTAAACTGGATAAAAAATCATATTGAATAAATTTTACACACTTTACATTCATTATATACAAATGTTTTCTGGATTGGGTGAGAAATCCCTTTCTTTTAAGCTGTATATACATTGGCAAATTGAAATATTGCAGAAGAGGAAGAGTTAACAGAAATGACAGAGGATTGCAATGAAAATATTCAACAACAGATATCACATTATTTTGGTCATCCCAAATTTCCAAATATTACAAAAAAAGTAATAGAAATACTTCTTCCATTCTCATTGTAATGTGTGTGAATCATGCTTTTTTTTTTTTAAATAATATTAAAAATAAAAAAACAATCACAGCTTGGAAAAAGAATTAAAAATTTGACCTTATTTACATTATTCAGACTATTGTTCTCATCTTTGTCACCATATTTATTACGTTTCGACCGTTGTACACTCTGGCCTTCTTCACATGGTTGGAAAGTTGAACTGAACCCTTTATTTCACTCACTGGTGTAGACTGTTCTAGTTCCATGTGCATCATACTTATTCTAAAACTCGGGTTATGTGTGTGTGTGTCCGTTTATATATTGGATTGGATTTCCTAAATTTTTCAACCGATTTCAACAAAACTTCACAGGACTACGTAAAATTACCTTGCGGTGGTTCTGACAGTGCCAAAAATTGGAAAAACACAATTGTTTTTGCACAAAATCTATTTGAAAACACGATTAAGAGGCATTAATGAAAGGGGGACAACTCATATAGCGTTATACTTATTATAAAACTCAGGTTGGTTGTTTGTGTGTGTTCGTTTATACATGGGATCGGATTTCCTACATTTTTCAACCGATTTCAAAAAACTTCACTTTTTTTTTTGGCAGGTAGAGTTTCTTATTGTCTTGCACACTTTTTCTTTATTTTTACATTCAGAATGCTTTAAAAATTCCATTGTTTATAATAAAATTCTATTCAATCGGTAGACTCATAACGATCGAAAACAATGTTTTTGTTTGAGTTTGGGTTTGACCAATTCGTAAAAAAAAAACAAAACAAAAAAACAAAAAAAAAAAAAAAACTAATTAAGACGTGCGTGTTCGTCAACCTTAAACAATAATCTTTGTCAATTTTATTTTTCAGTCTTTATGATGGTCGATACTTGATCTATCTCTTACTGTTACATCCCCGGGCAACGCCGGGCTCTACTGCTAGTGTTTAATGGATGTCAGTTATCAGTTATCTCCTGTTAATTTCCCTCTGAAAGTTCTCCACTGCCTTAACCAGGTATTGAACTCACACTTTTTGGGTCCTGTCACTGGATCTAACTAACGCCTTTATTCACTGTGCCATGTGTCCTTGACATCCATTAAACATGGCATGTGAAACTAGAACAGTCCATAGAGCGAAATAAGTTCGACATTCCAACCACCTGAAGAAGGCCGGAGCGTACAATGGCCGAAACATTGTAATAATTATGGCGACAAAGATGAGGACAATAGTCCAAATAATGTAAATAATGTACATAATACCTCATCTTAGAAATATAGACAAATTTGACCTTGCAAAGAAGATATTCTGAAAAAAAAAAAAATTATCAAGCTCAGATATCTCATTAAATATTAAATTACAATAAGCAGAAAAATAAATATTTATAAAATAAGTTTTTTTTCCAGAATTTTAGTTATTGTAAGGCACGGTGGAGTAATGGATAGCGGCTTGGATTGAAGAATTGGAGAGCCGAGTTTGCCATCCAGTCGAATCCATTACATTCACTTACGTGCTAATACCCTTGCTAAAGGTATGAATCCTCTTCTTCTCCCACCAGCTATGGGTAAATAGCAAGACAGACCAAGTTCTATAGCCTCGGATGGCAACTGGTCTACTGCAGAAAGAAATGGCAATCTACTGCGAAAAAAAAAAAAAAACTGCCTCGACAGTCATGTATTGAAAGGAACATGATTGTCTAAGCATGTATCACACATGGCACATAACTGATTATAATCATTTTGTTTGTGTTAATAAATAAATCATAAAAAGTATACTCTTTTTTGCTCATCATAATTTAAGTGTGTCGTGGAAGTTTAACTAAAGGTTCAAGTGTGTCATGAGATAAAAAAATAGGTTGAAAAACATTGTTTTATATGGTTAGTGTTTTGTTTCTCTTTCTTTCTTTTATCTCTATCCCTTCCCCATTTCCTGTATTATTATAATTTATATATCTGCATGATAGTGACTAATAACAGCATGCCTTTCACTTGTCAAAACAGTGTGCAAAGTCCTGTTTTGGGATTGCCATCAACTGCTTTGCTGTGTTCATCTTGTCCTTGATGTTTCAAATATGATTTTAGTTTTGGGAAAAGCCAGGAGTCTTAGAGAATCAAATCTGGACCAGAGGTAGGATGACAAATATAACATGATGCAGTGTTTAGCCAAAACGATTTGGCTTGCAATTTAAAACTAGCTTCCCTCAAACATTGCAAATTCAATGGTCACACAGTATACAAACTCATTTGACAGTATTTCTCTGCTGGCTGAGAAGCCTACAAGAGAATGTTTTGACTGGTTGCCATGTGACATCAAAGACCAAACAATGGGTTCTGAAGACATTCAAAATGGATGGATTGTTTCTAGACAAGTCCTATTGACCATTCATGAAAAGGAAATTATTTTTATAGTTAATTTTATCAAAAGAACTGTTTTAGAGTGGGACCATTTTTTTTATTATCACTCATATCTATAAAAAAAAAAAGTAGTTGATGTCTATCAATTTTGATATTTGAGAGTCTTAATAAATAAGTTCTGCCTTTCAGAAAGTTCTTATATTGGGTTTGGTTTGGTTTACTTTGTTTTATGGCATACCAACATCAATGGGTTATTTGATGCGACAAGATTTTTACTATAGATTCATATAACTAAATGATATATTCTTTGTAAGAAATCAGTTTGTAGGAGATGAGGTTTGACATATTTTTATAAAGAGGGTTTGTTGAGAGTGTGGTTTGGTTTATTTTTGTTTTACTGCATATATCAATGGATTATATAGTGCTGACAAGATTTTTATGACAAGTTCGTGTGAATAGAATATGTATCTTTTTTGTAAGAAATCAGTTTGTAGGTCAATGGTATAACTGGTAATATTTTTATAAAAATGTGCTGCTGGTATTTATACTATAAAAATGTATTTTTACACTTTTATAGTGTTTTGACCCCAGTTTGGGGGGTTAACTATGTGCTACCACCCTGGGTCAGGGTGGACCTGGGGATAACAGTAATTAAGTGGTATTTCCATGCTCCTCAAAACCTCACGATCAGAGGCCTTACTTCTTATATTGGGGAGACTACTTTTAAGCTAGGTGGGATGAATGTATATAGAAGTTACTTTGTGATATCGAAGCAAACAAATTCACCACAATATTGTGCTCTGTCATCATCTTGTGTCCAAATGTAAAAAATGATAACTCTTCATCTTAGAAATGAACATTCGTGTATAAAACTCTTGATTCTGTCAATGTTTATAAATATGCTAAATAGAATAATAGCATCTATTTATATCCTTTTATTTTGTTTATATCTTTCAGCTGAATAGATTTCCTGAAAAATTATGGCAAATAAAACTTTACATTTTAAAAGAATAAGTTTCATAAATTTCCTACTCAGAGGTCATATTCAAGGGAATATTAGCTTACCTTTTACATATTGGACTGTTACGGCCACCAGTGATGTCCTGGTAGAATCCTACAGAACAAGGAGCAGGTGTGCAGGAACCATTTTTAATCACAAAGTTAGCCAGGCAGCTATTGCACTGACTACTGCTGGGTCCATTACATGTGGCACACAAGTGGAAACATGGGTAACACCTGCAATGTTTTAAAATGAAACATTTAAACTCAAAAGATTTTAATGTCTTTATGCACATGCAGAATATACAAATTAACAAACATGAAAGCAACTCTCAGTTGCTTTAGATATCTCAAAGGCATTTGACAGAGTTTGGAATACTTGTCATCTTCAACAAATTTTTGAACTGATTCAAATCACAAAATGAAAGTTGCCTAGAATGGCCACTCTTCTTGATCTTTTTTCATAAATGCAGTTGTTCCCCCCAAGGCTCTATCCTTGGACATACGTTATTTCTAATTTTTATAATTGACCTTCCTGATGTCTTGTCGGTATCTCTGCTGATGACACAACTATTTACTCCTGTTTTAATAGTAAGTCTGATTGGTTTGATAAGGTCAAATTGGCAGGTGGTCTAAAAATGACCTACAATCTGTTGTTAAATGGGGCAAGGAGTGGCTTGTTAATTTTAACAACTCAAAAATGAAACTGCTCTCTTTTAATGATCTGAGAGAAACCTTTTAATTTCCATCAGCATGGCTGATGCTAACCTCTAGAAGAGTGACACATTGCAGTTTCTCGGACTGATATTTTCAGCTGACATGAAGTAGAAAAATTATATTGAATCAATTGCTAAGTCTGCAGCTAAAAGAGTTGGTTCACTATATCATATTAGACAATTTTTCTCACCAGAGTCTATCATTTTTAAGTCTACCATTCATCCTTGCTTTGAATAATACTGACACATCTAGCCTGGTGCTTCTGCTATGTATTTAGAGATTCTTGATAAAATCCAAAGAATCTGCAATGTTATTGGTCTTTTGCTCAGCTTCAATCCTTTTCCCACTGCCATAATGAAGCTACTCTGTGCTTTCTATAAATACTTTCATGGTAATTGTTCTTATGAACTTTCTGCTATGGTACGTAGACTTTTTGAATTTAAGCACAGTACTAGATTAGCAGCAAGGTCTCATCATTTTACAGTTGAAATTGGTAGATGTAACCGTAAGTTCTATGTTAAGAGTTTCTTCTATTACACTTCTCGCTTGTAGAACTCACTTCCAGCTTCCCAGTCAACTTTGAACTTTGATGTCAATTGTTATCTTCTGTCTCCTTAATTCTTGTTCTCTCTACTGAAGAATAGTTTTTCTTATATTCTCTAACACTCAGTACCCCCCCTTGCATCTTAGTGGCTTTATTACCTTGCTTGTGGTGAAATGATTAAGAATCAAAGAGATTTTTAAGAAATGTTATGAAAAACTTGTAGACAATGAAATAATAATAGAATTTTTGCAAAATTAACTAATAACATCTTTTGTATAATGTTACATGAATCTTAAAAATGTCTTGGGATTTAAATTCTTTATTGCAATCAATCAGTTTATGTTTTATGAAAAATTCTGAATGGATTAAAATGGTTTCCATTTGAACTTATGGAGATGAACATCAGTCAGCAATTAAAAATTTGTCTTTCTCTTCTTTCTTAAAACAATAAAAAGTAATTTCTAGACAAGATAATCACTTGCTACGGATTTATTAATGAGAATTCAAAATGAAGAAAAGATAATCTACTTTTGCTTCTCTCTCTATCTTTTTCTTTTAATAATGTTCACTCAGTAAAAGACCCAAGAGCCACTCAAGGTAGAAGGTTACTAAATAAAGTGTGTGGTATGGATGTAAGATGAGAAAGAAAGAAGTGAAGATTATGAGGACGTAGAGGATAGATAATGACTGACCCTAGACTTGAAGAGGTTAATATTATAGTGATCTGAGGAGCATCCATATAGGAGTCTGTTCCACAAAACAGTGGAACAAACAGGACACTTATTAAAATTTGGAAAATTAAGAGACCTCCTCCTGCATTTTATTTGATCCCTATCCTACAGTTTATTAAAATTCCCTGACAACAAACAATGCATGTCATGAAAAATAAATGTTTATTGATCTTGATTGTGTATTAATCATATATTTTGTTATCTTAGAAATCTGAACACATTCCTTCTGGATTTATATGTATTTATGAATACATTTTAATTATTACTCTTGTCGGAATGAAAGTACGCAGCATTTTTATTTGACCACTCCTCACACCTAGTTTATTAAATTATTGGAAATTGAAAGAAACCCCTCTTATTTTATACCAACCTCTTTATTCAAGGGGTAAGAGTAAATTGAGTATGCTGGAGAAAATGTAACAATATGTCTACTGCACAATTGATTTGTACCATGTACAAAGTGGGCTGAGCTGAAACACAGTAGCTATTATTGCTATTTATAGACAACGAAATATCTGGTGGACATCTTAAAAGTGGCATCCCATTAATCTAAAGGAAATAGAGAAAATAAATAAAAACTTTTGGGATCAAGTGCCACTTGGCTGGAAGTTAGAAAGTTTCAGTTGCAGGCTTATTAGCAGAATCCCAGTTAAGATGGCCAAAGAGAGTTTGGGACTGACTATTAGGTAGAAGTTTCAAGTCACCAGTAGGTGAGTTGCAAGTAGCATATTGTGATGTAGAAGTGGGCAGAAGAATGGTGGGAGGAGGAATTGTTGCTTGCTGAAGGGAAGAGTTGATTTGTTAGTCTGTTGTAGTAGAAGCTGTCCCAAGTGCCACTTACCTACCCTAACTACCTACCTACCTATGTCTCTAGACTGTGCAAGTGAATCCCTGAATGAACAATCAAATATACTTATGTTTTCATTTCACTATGTGATGTTTCTTAGCTTATGTTCACATTGATGCGGTGAGTGTCTCTTTATACTATGCTTAGCTTTTGGAATGCATCTTTGGCTATCTCAATGTGGATTCCAGTGTTGCACTTTCCATCTATCTTCGCAGATATTTCAATTTTTGTACTTGTTTGATTTTGGTATCCCCGATTTGTAATTTGCATTTTGGGCTGTGGCCATTTTGCTAACAACCATGCATTCTGTCTTCTTGTAGTTTATGTTTAGTATTTTTTATTCTTGCTTTACTGTACTAAAAATCTCAGGATTATTACTACTACTACTTTTCTCTTTCTTGCTTCTCAAAATAGTAATTGTCTTAGGAGCTTCTTGGTACACTAGTGTTTCTAATTGAAATGTTAGCTTTTGAGCATTATCTTTTCCATATTTTCATTAAGTCCCATCTCTGTGCGGAATCTTAATTCAATTTTATATTTTTACTATTTCAAAATGTTTGATTGTCAATTTAATTTTGGAGTTATGTTTATAATATAAACATATCTCATTCCCATCTGCAAAAATTTCTGTATCTGTAAACACACTCATTTAAATGTTCTAATTAGTAAGAATTACTTTCATATTTCCTTAACTAGAACTGTCAAGTTCACACTCCTCCCCAATCTTTTGAACCATAGTAGAAGTTTATCCCTTGTTTCCTGTTTAGGATTGGGTTTCTGGTTCCTTCTAAAGTCTATTTCAACTCTATACTTCTAATATCTCTGCCTAAAACTCTGATTTACTATTTATTTACATTTTTTTCTCAATGGGAGTAGATAGGTTTGCCTATCATACAGTTCACACACCTGTTTGATCTTCTGGACAGGAGTAGAGGTTTATCTCTTGTTTCCTGTTTAGGATTGGGTTTCCAGTTCCTTCTAAAGTCTTTTCCTTCTCTTCCAATTCTGGTGGCTCCTTGTGTCTTGCTGGCATTATCACCTTGTTTGGGGGTGGTGCCACTTACTGTGTAATCCTTTAACTCGAGTGGCTCTTGGGCCTTGTACAGGGTGAACATCAAAAAATATCTCTACAACATTATAACTTAAATGTAAACAACTAGATACAAAAATTTTGGTGCTACTTTGATTAGTTATCTATGTGTCATGCATCTACTTTGGTTTGTGATCTATGTCATGAAATGCACTTAGACTCTTGTTGGTGGATGATGAGAAAAGAAGCTCCTGATTTCTATTTAGTAGTTTTTTTTTTTTTTTTTATGCGCTGTTTATTACTAGAATATTATTAATAGAACATTTTTTTAATATTTTAATTACATTTTCTCTATGTTATATATAAATATTATGTTTTACTATGTAGATACCAGAGGCACGGTGGAGTAATGGATATTGGCTTGGATTGAGGAATCAGTGAGCCAAGTTTAAATTCCTGTCAAATCTATTACACTCACTTACGTGCTAATACCCTTGGGAAAGGTATGAATCCTCTTCTTCTCCATCCCAGCTATGAGTAAATAGCAGGACAGATTTGGTTCTATAGCCTTGGATGGCAACTGGTCTACTGCAGAAAGAAATGGCAACCTATTGCAGGAAAAATCTGCCTCATCAGTCATGTATCGAAAGATTGCCTAACCGGGTATCATGCATGATACATAACTGGCTGATGTAGATATCATTCCAAAATAATATTTGTATGGTGTACATATTTTTTTCTTTGTTGATAACAAACCAAATTAGCAGTAAAATTTTAATTGGATGAGCATTAAATTTTTTGTTTTTTGTGTAAAACTGTTTTTCTAATGCAAAGAGGATGAATTTTGACTGGTAATATTGAATGTGTTATGAAAGGAAAAAAAGAAAATTTTTGATTTCTTTTGTATTCATCAAGAAATGTATAATTTTATTACATCCAATAATAAATAATTGCATGAGGGAGACTAGGACAATTAATGAGAGGAAAGAAAAAAAAATATAAATTTTCTTTTTTTACTCACACATCATCAATCCGATACTCATTAAGGTCACACTTGTGGGTCTGAATACATAGGCCATTAGATAAATTGTATCCCTGCAAGCAACTAGTACAGTTTTTGGCACTGGATTCACAAGTTGTACATGGTGACTGGCAGGATTTGCAACGCTTTTCTTTTTGGTCTGGAAAAAAAAAAAGAAAAATTAATTAATGAACATTCAATAATTTAAACGAGTTAAAAAAAAAATAATTATTTATAACTCAGCCCCACATTTACATTATTCTTTTATTTGTTAGTACTTTTTTACAATTTTGTGGTTGATTTTGTTTAGTGGCATATCAACCTCTATGTGTTATTAAAGCTGAAATATAAATATTTTGAATGAAATTGTATGCCTTTAACTACAGATAAAATGTATTGTTGGTCATTTTGCTATAAAATGTATTGTTCGTAATTCTAGTATAAATAGGTATTGTTGGTAATTTTTTCTTTTTACATAAAAATGTATTACTGGTATTTTATACTTTCATAGTGGTTTGGGGGGGGTCACTATTTGCTCATAGCTGGGACCCTAACAGGGGCTACCACGCAGGGTATTGGTGGACCTGGGAACAATGGCAATTAAGATGTGGTTCCACAATCCTCAAAACCTCCAACTTCCCAATCAGAGGCCTTGATGCCAGATATGGTTTATTGTCATATCCAGGACTTTTTTTTACAGTTTTATAAAACTGAACCAAAATTCTAACAAAGTCATCTCCAGGTAACTATTTTTAGTGTTTAAGCACTTACACTACTGATTGGGATATTTGTACCATAACATAATGCCATATCTATTTTTGTATGAGTTACAATAAGAAATTACTAAAATATTACATTTGAAATTTCTCACCAATAAAGAATCCATCATTGCAAATTTTGGAGCATACATTATTCTCAGTAAGGTAGTGGCCATCTTTACATGATTGACAATGTTTTGGTAAAGGTCCTGAACAAGTTTTACAGGAACTGTCACATGAATAGCATTCACCTGTTTCAGGATTACCATAAGAGGTCTCAGAGCAAAATGCTACACAGGGACTGAAAGAAAAAAAAAAAGAGTTATAAACAATACTGAATTCTCAGAACATTGAATATCAGAACATTAAATCTATATGGTCAGTTAAAAAAATATAAAAGCAGGAAATGAACAGACTAAATATTATTATTTGAGGCATATATGAAAGAAGGTGGACAAACAATGGAGATTTCCTCAGTGGCAAACACTAGATCATGTACACCGATAGAAAGAAAAATGAGAGATATTAGACCAAGACATGAAAAAATGTGTTAGAAGATACTGTCAACTATCTGAAAGAATTCTTGCTGTTAAATTGAATGGAAATAGTTGTTTATGCACTGATAGCACAGAACACAGAAGAGGAAATTGAAAAATTTTATGCTAAATTAGACAATGCCAAGGCTAAATGCAAATCACAAGAAATTACGATCGTTATGGGAGACGTGAATGCCAAAGTTGGCAAGGAGAGAGTGTGGAGAAGTTCCAAAGGGTTCTTAGTATTATTTATGGGAAAATTCAGAAATATATAAACAAAATCAAAGATATAAACAAATATGTTCATTTGATTTTGATTGGAGTGAGTCTTATGTAATTTGGGTTGGTGAAAATCCATTTGGCTCGGTAGTTGATAGTTTACAAGTCGGACATTGGTAGTAGTTGAGGGTGTGTTTACTTTGTAAACTTGTTGCAGACGTCAATCTGTTATGTTTTCTCAGCCCTCAGTAGGGTGGAAAAATGTCTTAAGCAGATGACCCTCTAACTTCTTCACATGACACACTGAGCTGGTTTCTCTGGTGGCGTCTTCACTCTGTCTCTTGGCTGTCTGTTCATATCCCTTAAGAAAGGGCTTCAGACTGTTGGTGCAAAGATTGGTTTTGGCTAACATCAAAAGTCTCTTTGTTTTCTTTTTTTTTTTTTGATTAGTCCAAATTCTTTTATTTTCTGGCATTCTTTTCTTTTCAATTTTTTTATAGCAGAAATTACACATGGAACCTCTTATTTTGGTAGATTTCTAATCACAATGGCTAGGCACTGGTCCAGCAAACTTTTGCCATTTTGCAGCTGGGTTCAGTTTTTCCTCTTTTTATTTGAGGGTTGCCTTCTCATTAGCTTAGAGAGAAGTTTTTATATATATATATATATATATACACAGAGAGAGAGAGAGGTATTAGTTTTATAGTAAAGCAAATGCCTTATTTTATATATTTTTTTTTATGTGGGCTCACTACAAGACAGTGAAATAGTTGGTAAATTTGGACTAGGAGCTTGTAATAAACACAGGGAAAAATGGGTCCAGTGCTGCACAGTAAATGATCAGGTAGGAGTCAACATCTGGTTTCAGGAACACCCAAGTTGTATATGAATATAGAGAAGCCAGAGAGGAGAAACAAAAAAACTAAATCAACTACATAATCATCAATAAGAGATTCAGGAATGCAGTTTTACCCTGCAAAAACATACCCAAGTACCAAATTCAGGTGTGAAACTACAGAAATTGAAGAGGGCCAAAGCAGTACCCAAATTGTAATATGACAAGCTCTTAAATGACTCAAATGTGAAGGAGGAATGAAATGAACAGTGAAATTAGTACTGGCCAAAATGAACTGAAACAAAACAGCTGAAGTGAACGGAATTGTAATAGAAATGCTGAATGCCTTAGAAGATTTAAGCATTAACAAGATTACAGACAGACATAAATGAAATCTACAACAGTGGTGATATAGTGGAATACCTAAATAGATCGATTTTTATAGCACTGCCTAAGAACCCAGATGCAAACAAATGTAAACTCCATCAGACAATAAGCCTAATGAGCCGTATAACAAAACTTATCATCCAAATTCTGACAATTATACAGGAAGTAGGGCAAGAACAGTGTGTGTTCATTAAAGACACTGGAACAAGGAATGTGATATTTAAGCTCAGAATTATATAAAAAAGAACAAATGCAGAAGGTGTGTGTATCTGTGTGTTATTGATTTAGAAAAAGTATGTCACAAAGAACTGTTAGAATTGCTAGGTAACCTTAACATATTTGAGAACATACACATCGAGGCACTTCTGGGAGACCAACATGTAAATTACAAATTGGAGATACCAATTGATACAAGTACAATAATTGTATTTACATGAGTAAACAGATGGCAGAACAAGGTTTAGGAGAGATAACAAAAAGGTAAAATTTATTAAGAGCTACAAAGGACAGGAAATTGTGGAGAGCCATAATCACCAACATCCTGAAAAAACACAACTCATAAAAGAAGATGGATACATAAAAAGATAACTATAGATTTAAAAAATATATAAAAATGATGATGGAACAACTGCAAAATCTTTTTATTTCACTCTCTCTTGCCAAAAATCCATGTTGAGGTTTTTTTGTTAAAATTACTTGTTATTTCAGTTTGTTTTTGTTCATTTGTTTTGTTTGAAAATCATCAAACTAATGAATTATTTTATTTTTTCTTTCAGTTTTTTCTATGAAGACTTTGCAATAAAAGTTGCACATAATTTAATTTTTACAATTTGAATAACAGAATTTCCTGAAAATTTTGAAAATTTATGAAATCTTAAAAACTTGGATAAATTTAAAAATGTGATGCACTGCTATTTTAACCATTTAGAACTGGCTAACAGGAAATTTGTCTTGAATAAGAGGATTAAAAAAAAAAAAAAACATTCCAGAGCCAAGTTATACCTACCTCCAACCCCCCCCCCAAAAAAAAAACTCAGTTTTAAATGCAAAATAAATACAATACGGCCTATATTGGTTATACAACAATCACTCTTTCATGTAGCCTCACATGTCATTTATCTGATCAAAAAGCCATTAGACAACGCATTAACAAGCACTATAAGAATTATAATAATATTAGAGAGATCTGTTTTTTACTAGAATACTTAATAAATCTAATTGCAAAAAATGACTACAGATTATTGAAGTCATTTACATCCAACTTAAGCAACTATATCCATAAATAAATAGGTCCGAGACATAATCTTCTTGAATGTAAATAAAAAATGAATTAAAAAAAAAGGTCAAATGACTTTCTGCATTCATGATTTAGTTTAAAAAAAAAAAAAAAAGATATTTTCTTATTCATACCCCTGCTCCTGATGATGACTCATGCGAGTTGAAAACTTGAGAAAACACAACATGAATTTTGGCCAATGTATTCATATACAACAATTACATTTGTGAAAGCTTAATTGGTTAATCACACATTAGAAAAATATGATTACCAAATTTAGTAGGTAGAAAATGTCTATTGTTTTTAACAAGACATTTTTAAAAGAATAATTGATGTCTAAATATTCTTTTTTTTAGTGCTGTCTTCTTTCAGATCATGGCTTTTCATACTTTACCAACCTTTGTAGCTTTTAGCAATGTTTGTCCTTTTATGATCCCTTTCAAACCATCTTCTGCCATCCATTTAGACAAGCTAATTTGGTAATTACTCACTGTTTCCATCTTGCCTTGTCTTGTGAATGTCAAATTTTTCAAGCTTTTTTTCATTATGCCCTAGAAATTTCAACTGTTTCTTTCCAATTCTAAGTATGTGTCCTTTTTGTCCCAATTTTCCTTAGAACTCCTTTTTTGTTTACATGTTCCATCCATAGAATTCTCAATATTCTTCTTTTGTGTTGCTTGGAGTTTACATTTTATTTGTGAAGAAATTGTTCTGCATTTGCTGCATATAGGAGGATTGATATTAGATAGAAACAAAAGACTGTTGAACTGCTAACAAAATTTTTCTATTTCTTAATACTTTTAGTTTTTTAAAAAGTTTTTTTTTTAAATTTAAATCCTTTGATAAAAAATTCTTCAAAAGATAAATTTGAATTTTAACTGAAAAAGAAATTAAAACAACAAAAAATGATTACAAAGTGTGGGGGGGATACTCACCCATTTTGGCCATTCCGAAAGTGTTTACATGCATAACATTCTGAGGCACTTGGACCATAGCAGTCATTGGCACATTGTTCATGACAAACAATTAAGCTCTGAAGAAAAAGAGAAGTAACATACAGAAATATACAGACAGATGTTTTGTGTTTAATTTTTATAGTAATTATTAAAGGAGGAATAAGGATATTTAAAGCCAAAAGTAAATACTTAAATATACTCATTCTCTCAAATAAATATTTACAATTGATTGAATAGCAAGTCATCAAACTTGATTAGTTGAAGCTCCAAAAACATTTCTCCATGTACAAAAATCAGAAAAAAAAGTTTTATTTACATATATGTTTAAAATTCTGCCAATATGAGTAGGTACTGAAAAGTTCTTGAACTGATCAAGAAGACATTCAAAAAAAGTCTAATATTTGGCAAAGTGGGTTAAGCTGAGAACTTTTCAGCATCTGTTATACATCACTAATGCAGTTTTGAGATTAAATTTGCAAATTTGAATTTAATCAATATTTTTTCACTGTTTATGAAAGTCTTTGGAAGCAAAGAAGACCTTAAGTGGATAAGATGTTTATAAGATTAAATTATGAATGATTTTATATGAAAAGTCACTGAGAATTTTTCTGAGAGAAAGATGATTTTCTTGCTGAAAAAAAAAAAAAATTGATGTGAAATACATTCTCAATGAATGAAGTCTTTGTTTTTTAAAATTCATATCAGAAAACTGAATTTATAATGAAAATAAATAAATTTATGATTTTTGGTAAAATTTATTCAAAGCAGCAAATATAGTATTTTTTAAAATTTTTATTTTTGTTTAGAAAATCATAATCCCATTTTGGATAAGGTTCTCTGCATTCCTCATCTTGAAGTTAAAGATTGCTTTTATAAACCTGGGTTAGGTTCCGTCCTCTTTGAGATAAAGGATCATCATAGAATGTTTCCTTGTGGTCACACATTTAGTAAGAAATTTGCTGACAGTTGGACTACTGGAGTTTGAGCTTAAAATGTTAAATTTTGTTTTTCCTGTTGCAATATATAAGCAAAATCAGAATTAGGATTTTTAAAATAAATAGTTGACATAATAACAATAATTTAACAAGATATTTTCAAGAACTTGACAAACTTTAATCTCCTCAAGCATTTTTTGCTAGTAGGTTTCTCTGATTGTATGTCAAAATTTCACCAGGAAACTTCCACAGATATGTGTGTTTTCAGGGCTTTGCAAATTCAGCCACATCGTTTTCATAATACATTATTTTTAATGAGTTTCTTTTGCATTTCTTAGGTAATAACCAATTAATAATAAGAATAGAACCATTATATCTAAGTGTGTTGATTTTTTTCCTAAAGGAGGATTTTCTAATAAAAAAATTCAGTAACAATCAAGTAAGGAGTTGGATAATTGATATGAATAAAAAATTACCACAATATTTAACATACAACAAAGATATGTTTATTCATTAATATTTCTTTCATCTTATTTTATTTGTTCTTTATAGAATAAATGGAATTAATCATAATATTATTTGAATTTTCTTCAATAACACATTGTCAGTTATTTATCTCTGATTAGAATTTCTTTTGCTTGTCATTTCCACAACTCAAACTGTCATTCTACAAACACCAGATGTGAACTAAAGAATGAGCGTGGGGTAAAACATCACATAGATTTCTTTTACCTCATCTATGTACATTTGCCACATCAAGAGCCAACATTTACAGAAGATTAAAGCTAACGAATAATAAACTGATCCTATCCTGATTGCTTGAATGTTATTGTTATTCCTTATTGCTAATCAACACTGTTTATAAATGGCTGTCAAGTGAGAGATTGAGTAGTTGCAATGAAAACAACTGAAAGTGAGATGAACATCTTCTCCTAACAAGTCTAACAATGCTGGAAACAAAATAGCTAAACAGTCAATTTCAAATAATATATGATTGGCAATCAACTGCAAATAATATATGATTGGCAATCAACTGCAAATAATATATGATTGGCAGTCAATTTCAAATAATATATAATTGGCAAGAACACAAATAAAAAGAAACATAATAGTATAATTAAACTGAACTTTATAGTCAATAAATGAATAATTTATACTGTTTGTCTTAATTCAGGTAAATGATAATAGCAATATTATTATTTTTTTTTATAAGCTAGTATATGCCAAATGCATTCAATCTATTTACATCACCAGAGCCAAACATGATTGAAGCTGAACAGGATTTTTCTTTAATTAGTCACATAGTAAACAATAGTTTAACTTTAAAATCTTTTACAAATACTGAAAACAGAACAAAGAATGAAAAATCTTTAGAACTATTCTCATTTTTTGGTGATATAACAATAATTCTACACAAAGAGTTACATCTAAACATATTTGATAATAACTGAGCTGTCAAATCATTTTTTTATCAAAGGTGCTACCAAAATATTTACATTGCCTGATATGGGAGTTGTCCATGGAAAAGGAAATGTTCTGAAGCAAACAATATTAAGAACTAATCATAGTATCAAGGAGGCATGGTGGAGTAATGGATAGTGGCTCGGATTGAGGAATTGGAGAGCCAAGTTCAAATTCCAGTCAAATCCATTACATTCATTTACATGCTAATACCCTTGGGAAAGGTATGAATCCTCTTCTTCTCCCCCCAGCTATGGGTAAATAGCAGGACAGACACGGTTCTATAGCCTTGGATGGCAACTGGTCTACTGCAGAAAGAAATGGCAAACTACTGTGGGGAAAAAAAATCTGCCTAGTCAGTAATGTCTCGAAAGATACATGATCACCTAAGCATGTATCATACATGGTACATAACTGACTGGCTTAGTTTCAAATATGATAAAACATATTTGCAACATCCAGTAAATACAAAACTAATTTGCCTATAAGGAATTAACTTGCAGCACCCAATAAATTTAACAATACTAGAAACATTCAGATGTAGCAATGATATGTCTGTAATATTTAAATTTTGTGATAAAAAAACAAAAAAAAACAGTGTGTGAAAAGGATTTTTTCCCCCCTTGACACTATTATTATTTTAACTACCTTCACTCCTTGGCAATGTTTATTGTTTTGGAAAGTAATGATTAGAATTTTAATAAAACCTAAACATATGAAAATGAATTTAAAAATTTTCTTTGTTCTTGAGAATTTACAACAAAAATATTAAACACTATCTATCAGGTCGTTTATTTACAAGAATAATTTTATATTTACATTTTACAAACTAATACAATTAAAACAATATTTATCATTTACCAATTTATAAAGAAATAACTATGAAAACAATTTTTTATTCATAAATTTATAAACATTGACTAAGTTATTATTTACTGTTTTATAAAATTCAAATCAACTGGCAATTAGCTGGTATTTGCCAATCATTCCAATAAACAATATAATAAATAAATAATGTTATTTTCGTTGTCGATTCTCAAGAACAAAAAAATGTATAAATTCACTTTCATATGTTTAGGTTTTATTAAAATTCCAATCATCACTTTTCAAATAATAAACATTGCTGTAGTGTGAAGGTAGTTAAAATAATAGCGGTGTCAAGGGAAAAAAACAATCCTTTGGACACACTGTTTTTTTGTGGGCACAAAGTTTAAATATTACTGACATATCATTGTTGCATATAAATAGTTTTAATTGATTTAAAGTACTTATCACTGAGAGGTTAAATACAAACAACAAATATTGACTATTAATTTTCTGTAGCCGATAGATTATTTACAAAATAGGTTCTGAGGTCCTGAAACAAAGACTGATTATTAAATTTTCCCTTTGTCTTTTTATTATTAGATGCTTTTCAGAATTCTGTCATAAAAAATAAACTTAGTAAAAAGTTAATTATGAAGATGATTTTTGTTTAATATAGTTAAATTTAGTATAGAGGCTGAAACAAGGCAAGCCACATTAATATTTCTTGAAAATTGGGGAATTTTTAACAAGTAAGTTATGAAAGTAACAATAGGAGAGAAAAAATACTAAGATAGTTTTTGAAATGTAAAACTCATGATCTTCTTTCCTTGGCCAATTTGATCTGCCAGTTCAGCTGTAGAGAAAACAACTTGGTTCATTTTGGTTATTGTGGAAAGATCTCATATTATCTGGATCTTTCATGCAGAATAAAGAGAAATTGAATGAGAAATAAAAGTTCATGTTTAAACATTGTTGTTTACTGGTATCTTTATATGTGTTCCAGGGTGAAAGCCATGTAATTCTGACATGTACTTAAATGACATAACCAGTTTACATATACTGTCGTGTTCAAACATATGGGTCAGTGACATGTCTTTTGAACATACCTCATATAACTGAAAATTGTCAAGATGTATTGCTGACTGTATGGCACTTTAAAAGCACAAAAGTTAGTTTGATGATAAAATTAGGATACAATTTGACAAGAAAATATGCTCTAAACTAATGAAGTATTTAGTATTTAAAATTAATACCAGATAATTTAATTAATAAATGAAAATTATTTTTTTCTTTTTAAATAAAGTTTATCTTTGGTTAAATTAAAATTTCTTTCAACTAATGGTGAGTTTAGCTGTTTCTGTACAGGAAATATTCAGCATTCATTGTCCAAAGTGAGTTACAATTGGCTGAAATTTATAAATATTTTTTCTTAAAGCAGCTAATAAATTCAGACAAATTTACAACTTGGTGGAAATAAGCAAGAGAAATAATATGAAAAAAAAATACTAATCAAAAATGAATAATAATTGGCAATGCATGATCTAAGAAATTCAGACAACTACAGACTATTGCATCTTATTACTACTATTTTTGCTTAATTAATTATGTTTTTGTTTATAAGTTATTTTACATCTCTGCAAATATTTACTTCTGTGATTAAAAAGGTAAGATTTTACAAGTGGGTAGTCAATCCAGTAGGATAATTCTAATTTCAAATCCTTTGTTAAAACATTGGGAGACAGTAAGTAAAATGTAAAAAAATAAAAATATTTAAAAGTAAAAATTTAAGAGATGCTCATAGATAAATGTTCATTTATTCGACATTAAATTATGTCACTTAGCATCCTCCATAATTTACCCACACTTTTCTGTTA